TCTTGAAAAATTTTGGAAATGGATTTTCCAAAAACTTTAAGGATTTTAAGGATTTTAAGGCCTTCTTAAAATTTTAAAAATGCGTTAAAACCCTTAAAGTTGTAGGAAATGGATTTCCTAAAATTTTAAGGATTTTAAAGATTTTAAGGATTTTAAAGATTTTAAAAGGGGGCCCGGCGCCCCTGGGCCCCCGGGACCCCTTTAAAATCTTTAAAATCTTTAAAATCCTTAAAACCCTTAAAATCTTTAAAAATTTTGGAAATGGATTTTCCAAAAACTTTAAGGATTTTAAGGATTTTAAGGCCTTCTTAAAATTTTAAAAAGGCCTTAAAATCCTTAAAGTTTTAGGAAATGGATTTCCTAAAATTTTAAGGATTTTAAAGATTTTAAGGATTTTAAAGATTTTAAAAGGGGGCCCGGCGCCCCTGGGCCCCCGGGACCCCTTTAAAATCTTTAAAATCCTTAAAACCCTTAAAATCTTTAAAAATTTTGGAAATGGATTTTCCAAAAACTTTAAGGATTTTAAGGATTTTAAGGCCTTCTTAAAATTTTAAAAAGGCCTTAAAACCCTTAAAGTTTTAGGAAATGGATTTCCTAAAATTTTAAGGATTTTAAAGATTTTAAGGATTTTAAAGATTTTAAAAGGGGGCCCGGCGCCCCTGGGCCCCCGGGACCCCTTTAAAATCTTTAAAATCCTTAAATTCCTTAAAATCTTTAAAAATTTTGGAAATGGATTTTCCAAAAACTTTAAGGATTTTAAGGATTTTAAGGCCTTCTTAAAATTTTAAAAAGGCCTTAAAATCCTTAAAGTTTTAGGAAATGGATTTCCTAAAATTTTAAGGGTTTTAAGGATCTTAAGGCCTTCTTAAATTTTTAAAAAGGCCTTAAAATCCTTAAAGTTTTAGGAAATGGATTTCCTAAAATTTTAAGGATTTTAAATATTTTAAGGATTTTAAGGATTTAAAAAGGGGGCCCGGCGCCCCTGGGCCCCCGGTACCCCTTTAAAATCTTTAAAATCCTTAAAATCTTTAAAAATTTTGGAAATGGATTTTCCAAAAACTTTAAGGATTTTAAGGATTTTAAGGCCTTCTTAAAATTTTAAAAAGGCCTTAAAATCCTTAAAGTTTTAGGAAATGGATTTCCTAAAATTTTAAGGATTTTAAGGATTTTAAGGCCTTCTTAATTTTTAAAAAGGCCTTAAAATCCGTAAAGTTTTAGGAAATGGATTTCCTAAAATTTTAAGGATTTTAAAGATTTTAAGGATTTTAAAGATTTTAAAAGGGGGCCCGGCGCCCCTGGGCCCCCGGGACCCCTTTAAAATCTTTAAAATCCTTAAAATCCTTAAAATCTTTAAAAATTTTGGAAATGGATTTTCCCAAAACTTTAAGGATTTTAAGGATTTTAAGGCCTTCTTAAAATTTTAAAAAGGCCTTAAAATCCTTAAAGTTTTAGGAAATGGATTTCCTAAAATTTTAAGGATTTTAAGGATTTTAAGGCCTTCTTAAATTTTTAAAAAGGCCTTAAAATCCTTAAAGTTTTAGGAAATGGATTTCCTAAAATTTTAAGGATTTTAAAGATTTTAAGGATTTTAAAGATTTTAAAAGGGGGCCCGGCGCCCCTGGGCCCCCGGGACCCTTTTAAAATCTTTAAAATCCTTAAAATCCTTAAAATCTTTAAAATTTTGGAAATGGATTTTCCAAAAACTTTAAGGATTTTAAGGATTTTAAGGCCTTCTTAAAATTTTAAAAAGGCCTTAAAATCCTTAAAGTTTTAGGGATTTTAAGGATTTTAAGGCCTTCTTAAAATTTTAAAAAGGCCTTAAAATCCTTAAAGTTTTCGGAAATGGATTTCCTAAAATTTTAAGGATTTTAAAGATTTTAAGGATTTTAAAGATTTTAAAAGGGGGCCCGGCGCCCCTGGGCCCCCGGGGACCCCTTTAAAATCTTTAAAATCCTTAAAATCCTTAAAATCTTTAAAATCTTTAAAAATTTTGGAAATGGATTTTCCAAAAACTTTAAGGATTTTAAGGATTTTAAGGCCTGCTTAAAATTTTAAAAATGCCTTAAAATCCTTAAAGTTTTAGGAAATGGATTTGCTAAAATTTTAAGGATTTTAAAGATTTTAAGGATTTTCAAGATTTTAAGGATTTTAAAGATTTTAAAAGGGGGCCCGGCGCCCCTGGGCCCCCGGGACCCCTTTAAAATCTTTAAAATCTTTAAAATCCTTAAAATCCTTAAAATCTTTAAAAATTTTGGAAATGGATTTTCCAAAAACTTTAAGGATTTTAAGGATTTTAAGGCCTTCTTAAAATTTTCAAAAGGCCTTAAAATCCTTAAAGTTTTAGGAAATGGATTTCCTAAAATTTTAAGGGTTTTAAAGATTTTAAGGATTTTAAAGATTTTAAAAGGGGGCCCGGCGCCCCTGGGCCCCCGGGACCCCTTTAAAATCTTTAAAATCTTTAAAATCTTTAAAATCCTTAAAATCCTTAAAATCTTTAAAAATTTTGGAAATGGATTTTCCAAAAACTTTAAGGATTTTAAGGATTTTAAGGCCTTCTTAAAATTTTAAAAAGGCCTTAAAATCCTTAAAGTTTTAGGAAATGGATTTCCTAAAATTTTAAGGATTTTAAAGATTTTAAGGATTTTAAAGATTTTAAAAGGGGGCCCGGCGCCCCTGGGCCCCCGGGACCCCTTTAAAATCTTTAAAATCCTTAAAATCCTTAAAATCTTTAAAAATTTTGGAAATGGATTTTCCAAAAACTTTAAGGATTTTAAGGATTTTAAGGCCTTCTTAAAATTTTAAAAAGGCCTTAAAACCCTTAAAGTTTTAGGAAATGGATTTCCTAAAATTTTAAGGATTTTAAAGATTTTAAGGATTTTAAAGATTTTAAAAGGGGGCCCGGCGCCCCTGGGCCCCCGGGACCCTTTTAAAATCTTTAACATCCTTAAAACCCTTAAAATCTTTAAAAATTTTGGAAATGGATTTTCCAAAAACTTTAAGGATTTTAAGGATTTTAAGGCCTTCTTAAAATTTTAAAAAGGCCTTAAAACCCTTAAAGTTTTAGGAAATGGATTTCCTAAAATTTTAAGGATTTTAAAGATTTTAAGGATTTTAAAGATTTTAAAAGGGGGCCCGGCGCCCCTGGGCCCCCGGGACCCCTTTAAAATCTTTAAAATCCTTAAAATCCTTAAAATCTTTAAAAATTTTGGAAATGGATTTTCCAAAAACTTTAAGGATTTTAAGGATTTTAAGGCCTTCTTAAAATTTTAAAAAGGCCTTAAAACCCTTAAAGTTTTAGGAAATGGATTTCCTAAAATTTAAGGATTTTAAAGATTTTAAGGATTTTAAAGATTTTAAAAGGGGGCCCGGCGCCCCTGGGCCCCCGGGACCCCTTTAAAATCTTTAAAATCCTTAAAATCCTTAAAATCTTTAAAAATTTTGGAAATGGATTTTCCAAAAACTTTAAGGATCTTAAGGATTTTAAGGCCTTCTTAAAATTTTAAAAAGGCCTTAAAATCCTTAAAGTTTTAGGAAATGGATTTCCTAAAATTTTTAAGGATTTTAAAGATTTTAAGGATTTTAAAGATTTTAAAAGGGGGCCCGGCGCCCCTGGGCCCCCGGGACCCCTTTAAAATCTTTAAAATCTTTAAAATCCTTAAAATCCTTAAAATCTTTAAAAATTTTGGAAATGGATTTTCCAAAAACTTTAAGGATTTTAAGGATTTTAAGGCCTTCTTAAAATTTTCAAAAGGCCTTAAAATCCTTAAAGTTTTAGGAAATGGATTTCCTAAAATTTTAAGGGTTTTAAAGATTTTAAGGATTTTAAAGATTTTAAAAGGGGGCCCGGCGCCCCTGGGCCCCCGGGACCCCTTTAAAATCTTTAAAATCTTTAAAATCTTTAAAATCCTTAAAATCCTTAAAATCTTTAAAAATTTTGGAAATGGATTTTCCAAAAACTTTAAGGATTTTAAGGATTTTAAGGCCTTCTTAAAATTTTCAAAATGCCTTAAAATCCTTAAAGTTTTAGGAAATGGATTTCCTAAAATTTTTAAGGATTTTAAAGATTTTAAGGATTTTAAAGATTTTAAGGATTTTAAAGATTTTAAAAGGGGGCCCGGCGCCCCTGGGCCCCCGGGACCCCTTTAAAATCTTTAAAATCCTTAAAATCCTTAAAATCTTCAAATATTTTGGAAATGGATTTTCCAAAAACTTTAAGGATTTTAAGGATTTTAAGGCCTTCTTAAAATTTTAAAAAGGCCTTAAAATCCTTAAAGTTTTAGGAAATGGATTTCCTAAAATTTTAAGGATTTTAAGGATTTTAAGGCCTTCTTAAAATTTTAAAAAGGCCTTAAAATCCTTAAAGTTTTAGGAAATGGATTTCCTAAAATTTTAAGGATTTTAAGGATTTTAAGGCCTTCTTAAAATTTTAAAAAGGCCTTAAAATCCTTAAAGTTTTAGGAAATGGATTTCCTAAAATTTTAAGGGTTTTAAGGATTTTAAGGCCTTCTTAAATTTTTCAAAAGGCCTTAAAATCCTTAAAGTTTTAGGAAATGGATTTCCTAAAATTTTAAGGGTTTTAAAGATTTTAAGGCTTTTCTAAAATTTTACGAAGGCCTTAAAATCCTTAAAATCCTTAAAATCCTTAAAATCCTGAAAATCCTGAAAAGTTAGTCAGGCAGAGAGCAAAGCCAAATAGAGCAGAAAGGTCCTACGTACTTAGGGGTTTAGGGGTTTAGGGGTTTAGGGGTTTAGGGGTTTAGGGGTTTAGGGGTTTAGGGGTTTAGGGGTTTAGGGGTTTAGTAGGGGTTGTAGACGCCGGGGGTTTAGGGTTTGAGGGTTGGAAGCCTGCTGGAAAATGACAGAGAGAGAGAGAGAGGCCCAAACCCTAAACCCTCATATGTATATATATATATACACAGAGAGAGAGAGAGAGAGAGAAAAAAAAAAAAAACAAAAAAAGAAAAGCCAAGCTCCATTGCCGGCGCGCACCGCCAGCCAAGGAAAGCCGAGGAGGCAAGCACTCCCCTAATCGCAGCATCCCAGGACAGGAGGGGGGAATGTTGGGGTTTAGGGTTTAGGGTTTAGCAGTTGCAAAAGGGTTTAGGGTTTAGGGCTAGGATGTTCCCTTTTATACGAACCGCTCCTTAATAGGGATCCTAGTACCCCCTTATCAAAAACCCGTTTAAGGACTGTTAGTATAAAGGGGAACATCCCCAGGGGAATGTCTTGATTACGTGGAAGTTCTAACATTCGGCTCCTTTCTTGGGCCCTTCTGTAAGGGAGTTGGCACGCCTTCATGTTCAGGAGTTCTGAATATAGGGAGCAAGCCCCAGCAGAACCCTGAAGTTCTTCAGGGCCTCACATCGCGCAGTTCAGTGACGCTTGCCCAGCACAAGCTAGCACGTGCTGCCCTGAGCTCGTAGAAACAATGCGTCGCCCGTGCTACGCTATTTCAGACGTCGCTGGGGAAGGAGCTTCGAGGGGCGTCCCGCCCGTCTTAAGGAACCACCACGCTACTGCTGAGGGTTCTGTGGTGCCTGGCTCTGGCTTCGGTGTTTAAGGTTGTTCCTTGACCGTCCCAGATTCCGGTCAGGTAATTTTTGTGCTACATGATGCATGTGCCCGGGCCCGCGCATTGACATTTTGCGAAGGCGCCACGAAAGTCTACGAGATACACGCTATGTATGCCCACACGGTGTAAACAGAAACTTGCCTACTAGCACATGTTCCGCTCTGCCCTTTCGGTGCATGGACAGAACCTGGTCTCAACCTTTCAAGCTGAACAGGACGGGCGCGCGGAACTCGAGGGTCTGCGGGAGGCCATGCAGCGGATGCTGGACACCGAGAAGGCAGACTAACCCTGCGGCTTAGGATCTCATGTCGGAGTGCACTGAAATGAGCTCCCGGAGCCAGCAGCTGTTCAAACTTGCTTTCTTCTGTTGACTGCCCGGTGAGGGTTTTTCCGCGTTGAGTAAAGGGTCTTGGTAAAGGGAGCTTCGGAGCATCGGAGTTTGGCGATGAGGTGTTGAAGTGTGCACTGGAGTTGAGCCACTTGTCATTGCATGGCTGCCACTGGAGCGCTCCTGTACAAAGAAAGAGTCTGAAGAATGTCGGGGGAGGTTGATGAGACCTGGCCTTCCCATGTGAATTGCATCCCGCGCATCTCCACGCCCAAGTCCTCTGGTTCCTCTGGTGCGACAGTCATGCTGAATACAGAGGCCATGGCGGTGGGTGGCCCCAGCCCTGGTGCTGTGGAGTGGCTACACCATCAGGCCTGTTTCGCCTACGCGGCCCCCAGCGAGCATGTGGAGAAGGTGGTGGAACAGGCCTTCCGGCTTTGCCGCTACGATGCCCACTGTGCCGCCCAAGAGCTGTACAAGAGCCTTGGTGAAGCTGGTGCCCAAGCTGGTGCCCAAGGTGTGTCGAGTGAGGATTCTGCAGGCTTGGGCTTGGCAGGCAGAGTCCAGGTTGAGGGTCTCCTGGCGTGGTGGTGCCGCCGCGCCTGGGAGGACCGCCGGATCAAGGAGGCAGCGGACGCGGTGAAGCGGCAGACGGGCGGCGTGGAGCGCGCGGCGGCCCTGTCCTCGTACTGCCGGTTCGCTGCGACCGCCAAGAAGGTGGCGCGGCAGGCCTGCCAGATCTCCGGCGGCCAGCAGGACCTGCTGCGCGCCTGGCAGCGGTGCCGGCAGAGCCGCGGTTGGCCGCGGGAGGCCGCGAGGCGCCTGGAGGAGGGGGGCTTCGACCCTGCGAGCGCCGCGGCGCGCGAGGACTGCTGCGGGGACGCGCGCTGCCTGGCCGCCCTCTGGGAGCTGCAGGAGCTGAGGAAAGAGGCCGGCGCCTGAAGCGCCCTCGACGGGCCCCGAGGCTTCCCAGGTCAGCCAAAAGGGGATCTCAAGCGGTGAGCTGCAGATCGGCTGCTGGAAGTGTGTGCCCGGTCTTTGAAGTTGCTGGTCAGCGGAGACCACAGACAATGCTGCTCGGTAGAAGGTGCGGGATGCGAGGTGCCAGAGAAAGGGATGAATGAGAAGTGCAAGTGATCAAGTCAAGGGCGTAAGGGGGAATCACATCTCAAGCAGTACTTTCAAATGGGGACTATACCAACAGCAAGCAGAGCGGATATGGAGAATCAGTGCCTGCTGTGTTGGTTGTAGGAAAGATTGCGTTTTGGATCTTGGTGTGGCGTTCGTGAGTAAGTTATGAGATGGTTTTGTATTTGGGGGTACCTCATTGGGGTCCTCATTGGGGTCCTTATTGTACGGGGATCCTGCTATTTGGGGGTCTCTATGATAAGCGAACCCCCCTTTACTAAGATTTGGGTGTTTGGAAGGCTGGTTGCTTTCGGCTGATGACGGGTGCGCATATAGGATGCGAGGTTCTTGGGGCCAGCAACTGTGCTAGCTTCAAGACCCCAAGCCCCCTCAAACCCTTACATACATTGAATCCCAAAGCCCTATATCAATCTATCAACTCCCGAAAAAGCTTACCCTAAACCCTAAACTAAACCCTAAACCCTAAACCCTGAAAACGTCTTGAGGCTCCGAGAAAATACCCACCATCTTCCAAGGGCCCCCCGGGGAACCAACGGTTGGGCTCAACTCATCCCAACATTATCTGCAGTGTTGGGCTTGGCACACTGGGTTTAGGGTTTAGGGTTTAGGATCTAGGGTTTAGGGTTTAGGGTTTAGGGTTTAGGGTTTAGGGTTTAGGGTTTAGGGTTTAGGGTAACTGGGGATACTTAGTGTGCACTTTCGGTCCGAGCCCGCGCGTCAGGAGGCGGCCTTGTCGGTAGCAGCCGCGCGGCGGCTGCTGGCCAGCAAGGAGCACCAGGCCCAGGAGCGGCAGAAGGAGACCTAGGGTTTAGGGTTTAGGGTTTAGGGTTTAGGGTTTAGGGTTTAGGGTTTAGGTCTAGGGTTCAGGGTTTTTAAGGGGCAGGACACCCCAGAGGACCTGAAGCAAGGGTTCAAGGGGGGCTCATCCCTCAGAGGCACGAGTATGTCTTGCGGTTTCACGGCTGTCAACTTGGGTTTCTTGTTTTGTTTGTTTGTGGGGGCTGGGGGGGGGGGGGGGGGGGGGGGGGGGGGGGGCGCGGGGGGGGCGCATTTCTGGAGCAGCACGGGTTAAAATCTTAGGGTGTAGAGATACTACATGTGTATATGCATATCTTTATCTGTGACATAGTCTATATTGATGATATCGTTGATATGACATATAGCTTCTGTCGGGCATGTTCCAGGGACTACGGCCCATGGGGGCCCGGCTGCGAGGTTGGGAGCCGTCCGCAGCTTGCAGCCACGCCTTGTGATGCCAAAAGTCATCGCCCTTCAGGAGATCCCTCCGTTCGCGCAAGGTTTGCGTGAGCTGCCCTTTGGATGCACATGCCTCTTGGGGCATCAAGCGAAAGCGGGGCGTTGCGCACTTTACTGAAAGTGTTGAGTGTTGGGGAGGTGGTGGGGAGAATTAGTCCTGGAGAGCGTGGAATCTTCAGGTAGCTGGCTTGAAGATGTGACAGAAAAGGTATGGGCGTAGGGTTTAGGGTCAACACAGTCGCCATAAAACCCGGACCCGAAGCCCATTCCTGCAAGCCTCGTCAAGAAGGAGGCATCCCCTCACCCGAGCGCTTGGCGCCGTGCACGAATGTACGATAGGCACTCGTGCATAATATTCATTGCGCTTCCTGCAGGTTTCGGGGGTAGGGGCGCGTCAGGGCCCGGAACGTGTAGAAATGGGATGAGGATGGTTTGGGCGTAAAAAGCCTGCAACTCTGCAAGTGTAGGACATCGAAGGCAGTAAACGACCTGTTGAAGTTTCCACATGCACGGGCTCCACCATCCTAGCTTGGAAAAGCGCTCGGAAAATCCCTGCTTTCAGGCAAGATCGCCTGCAGCGAGCGCAGCAGAAACTGGCGGATCAGCGCAAGCGCGCGCTCCAGGGTGAAAGGCCACGCCGGCGAATCCCTGAAATGGGGCTCGGGCGACCTGCCGTCAGGGCTCGGTACTGTAGGATTCTTGGGGCCAGCAAGCAAACCCCTTTGATGTGCTGCATGGAGGCATGAGAATCCCCCTGCCCGGCTCGTGATTATTTTGCAGAGTACCCCTATAAACCGTAAGCGTTGGTGGTAAAAGGGTGGCGGAGTGGTCGCGGAGTCTGAGACATGGGTTCGAGAACCCACTCTCAAGCCCTATGTAACCCTCAACTGCCACGTACAGCCTATTCAAGCCTGTCGTTTTTCTTCAGCGACCACCGGTCGAAACGCGAAAACCCCGCCGAGAGTCCTGAACTTCACTTTTCCAAGTTTTCGCGCAGACTGGAATCCCTTTCTCGTGAGGTGTTTAGCGCTATCTTCGGGGAGAGCTGGGTGTTTGGGTTCGTTTTTTGGATCCCCAAACCCCAACCCTTAACCCCAAGCCCTCAAGCCCACCCTAAAACCCGTCATCCTTTGGTTGAATCTGCGAGTTGTCAGACGTTCCCCTGCTGAGAGCTTTTGTCCGGCCATGCCTGCCGGTGGCAAAAAAGAAAGAGAGACACCCTAAACCCTAAAAACCTAAACCCTAAACCCTAAACCCCAAACCCCAAACCCTAAACCCCAAACCCTAAACCCTAAACTCCAAACCCTCAACCCTAAACCCCAAACCCCAAAACGAAATGAATCACCAGGCTCTGGCAGGCGCAGCTCCTACTGGAGCAGCTGGTCGAGCTGCTCGGCTTGGAGAGTCGTACCCCAAAGACCCCCCCCTAAAAATCTGGGTTTAGGGTTTAGGGTTTAGGGTTTAGGGCTTAGGGTTTAGGGTTTAGGGTTTAGGGTTTAGGGTTACAGGGCTCCAAACCCTCAATTCTCAACCGCTGAAAAAATCCCGTATGCCCCGCCAAGGCCTCCCCCAAGCCCTGCAAACCCCAAATTTCGAAGCCCTGAATCATTAAGACCTAAGCCCTATAATCCCCAAACCTAAACCCCAAACCCTAAACCCCATTCAATAACCGTCCTTGATTTTTTTCAAGGCGGATGCAGCCTGTGGAGGCGGAGGTGGAGCAGGCAACCTGGGCGGGCTTCTCGGGGTTCAGGGTTGCAGGGTGTAGGGCAGTAGGGTTAGGGTTCAGGGTTTGGGGTTTCGGGTTTCGGGTTTAGGGTGTAGCGTTTAGGGTTTAGGGTTTAGGGTTCTATGCGATTGCGTGTTGCCTCATGAGAACATCTTGGACACTTGTGTTGCAGCTGTATGTGCCGGCGCCAGCCAAGGTCCGTGCTTCAAAAAGGGGGTTCTGGAGCTTTGGGGTTTTTGGGCTTTTTTTGGCTTTTTGGGGCTTTTTGTGTTCTGGGGCTCGCGGCCTCCAGGGTTTTAGGCTAGCTTACAGACCTTAGCAGCCCTAAGCCGAATCCCTAAACCATTGAAACCAAGTCAGTGCTGGGGGATCCGGGGTTGGGTAGGCTCGTTAGCTTCTGTCTGGGTTGTCGGTTTAGGGTTTAGGGTTTAGGGGAAAAGGCGGGGTTGCTTTGAACATGAATCCCCTGCTGGTTGCCTGGAAGAGTCCCTGTGGAGTGGACGCCCGAACCTCCCCCCCCCCCGGCAGCCCGCCTACCTGTACGAAAGAAAGACCTGCTCATATACACACATCCTATACCCCCCTTGGGAACTATGTTTGATATTTGTTTCTATAAACCCAAGAAAATATTAGAGATGTTTCTAAGGGGAGTATAGCATGAGGGTTTAGGGTTTATAGGGTGTTAGTGGCGCCCCAGCCTAAGCCCCTCAACTTCAGAAGCACCGACATTTGGCAGGTGGAGCTCCTTTGTACCCCAGTGGGGGATGAGGGCGCGCCGACGGAGGACACCATGGCTTGCTCAGACTGTGCAGGATGGAAGTGCCCTGAATTTCTATTCACATCACAATAACACTCATACCTTTTTTGTATAGCAGGAGAGGAGCGGAGACCTACCTATTGGGTATGCAGGGAATCTGCGCTACCTCTGAACAAGGTCTTGAAATCCCGGTCTTTAAATGCCGGGGCCCACCCAAACAGCCCCTTCGCACCAAACACCAGCCCCCCCCCCCCCCCCCCCTCCCCCCCCCCCCCCCTTCCCCTTTTGTCCCCCCCGCCTTCCCACCCGAAACGCTCACCCTAACCCCGAAACCCTACCTATAACCTGCAACCCCAGAACTCTATAACCTTATCACCCTCTCGCCCTGAAACCCTAGAACCCTATGACCCTAAACCACTCTAGCCCCCCAAAACCCCTACCCTAAACCCTAAACCCTAAACCCTAAACCCTAACCCCTATAGCTCTTCAGACCCTTCAGCCCCCCTCAAAGAGGAGCAGCGCGCGGAAGCCGAGGGAGCCATCGGAGCCGCCGAGCTGCTGGGGCTTCTTGAGGGTTAGGGTTTAGGGTTTAGGGTTTAGGGTTTAGGGTTTAGGGTTTAGGGTTTAGGGTTTAGGGGGTTAGGGTTTCGGGTTTATGGTTTAAAAGTTGGGGCTTGGGGCTTAGGGCGTATAGGGTTTAGGGTTTATAGGGTTTCCCTATATCCCTTACGCTTGACGCTGGGACGCCTATGGCGTTGGCACAAAGATATGTGCAGAATTTGGCGCTGGACATTCTGTCAGGCAGTCCCTCCTCGACGTCGAGGAAGACTTGGCCACCGCTCGGACGCGGCAAGGTGCAGTGGCAACCAGTCCGGAGGCATCCAGGAATCAAACCTGTCTGAACCCACCCTCGGGCTTGGGGTTTCGGCTCGCAGCCCTTGCCAGGCCGCCGAGGCGCTGTTGCAGCTCGAGGTGTGCAGGGCGTAGGGTTTGGATATAGGGGATCTACGGAATCGGAGCCCAAACCATGAATCGACAACTCGAAGTGCTTTGAGCCTGTTAGACCTGAAGCCCTACTCCGCACCAGTCATGCCCTGCCTTGTACGAGTGTGAGCGACTGAGCCCTGCACACAGAGCTTGCTGGATGGCTTGCTGTGCCCTTCCTGATGGCTTCCTCCCTCACTCAAGATATGCCGGCCCCAGGTGCGCCTACAAAACTGCCGAGGTTGGCTGCGACTGTTTTGGGTTTTTGTCGGGGGATACGGAGCCTTGCTGCTCGAGTGCTCGGAAGCCTGGCGCTGGATCCTCATCCCAGAGCCTGGAACCTTAGAACCCGACATCAAGCCGAAAGAAGTGAGGAAGTGTGCTTCCTGTGCGTCTTCTCTCTGAGCCCCTTTCGGCTTCAAAATCTCACAAGGGCATAAACACACTAGGGCATCTGACTATACCTAGATCCTATACAATACCCGCTTTGTGTTGCAGGTCGCTGGATCCTAAAGATCGACAAATGGGAGTCATCTAGTCCAACCCTGCTTCCGGTCATGATCAACAACAGATTTGGGCACCAACCCGGTCCGAAGCACCCTAAACCCTAAACCCTAAACCCTAAACCCTAAACCCTAAACCCTAAACCCTAAACTTTGGCTAGTCGGGTGCCAAAAAAAGCCCTAAACCCCAAACCCAGCAGATCGCACGCCCGACGAAAGGCCGCTTGTTCGACGTTCGCTGCAACTCGCCCTTGCTGGCCCAGTCTGAGGCACTCCGGGAGCGGAGCTGACGCACCTCTCCCGATAGATTGGCTTTAGGGTTTAGGGTTTAGGGTTTAGGGTTTAGGGTGTAGGGTGTAGGGTTTAGGGTTTAGGGTGCTTTATTTCTTACCTTCTGGGCGTGTTTATGCAGCAGGAGAGTGGCGGGCAGTTGGGAACTTGCTTGCTTCCACGTTCAAGTCCCTCAAAAAAGGGTTCTAATAGGGGAGTAGGCCCCCAGGTTCCCAGCTCCCTCTTATTGCGGATCTGGTGGGTTATAGGGCCTACCATAGGGTTGAGAATTGAGGCTTTCAGGTTCAGGGCTTCGGGGTGTTTTGGGATCACGCGACCTCAGGGCCTCGCGCATGGCAGCCATGCTACCAATGTTCAGACGTATGAGGTGCTCTAGAATTCTGCCTTCTGCACGTTCCTAGCTAGAGTTTCGGTCTTTGGGTTTGGGGTGTGCTTGGGCTTGGGTTCGTGGTAGTTTCTGGGATTGCGCGTTCGAGGGCTTGAAATCCAGCAGCTTCCGCCAGGCTCCGTTGCCCAAGCGCCGCCGCACGTAGGCCGCCAATGTGGCCCGCCCTGCCATTCGTCATCCCGGCCTAGATGTCTGGGTTCCCTGGAGGATGCACTTCTTTTTTTTCTTCTTTTTTGGGAGCTCTTGTATTTCCGAGCTTTGTGGGGTGGGTGGGGGATGGGGGGGGTACCAGAGGACTATATGCTCGATGAACAGCCAGAAGACTCACCTGGGGCTAAATAATGGTCATGTTCGTGTTTCATGATTTTCAGTTCGAGGACCCGAATTGGACTGAAATCTGGTACAAAACATGCTTGAATCAGACCCTCATCCCGCCTGCAAACTCGAAGAGACTCAAGCCTGAGAAGGCCTGTCTGCTAGACGGGTACCAGAAACAGGCCCTTTGCATACTTCGAGCAGTTGTCATTAGATGCCCACAATGAAGTTGGAAGCCTTGAACGAACTGCATCCTCACCCGTGACCCCTGAGAGCACTAAAGGTTTGCCCGCGCCGAGTCTCTGAAGCAACGGCCTTGGGGCCTGTGGCCTTGGTGTGTCCGCGCTGTCGAGCCTGGTCCAGTGAGTTCCGGGTTTTGGGCTCTCGGGCCGCGTCCCGAAAGCTCGACTGCGAACTTCTCGGACTCTGTAGGCAAGACCGCAGAGACAAAACGAGAGCTGGCCGCCCCTCCCTCGAGTTCAGGCTGTGTGACTTTTGACGTGCATGCCTGACGCTGAAGTAGCATGTCGCTCGGTTGAAAAAGGCAATTCGTCGTAGCTGTCTTGAAAGGGGATTTACATGAAGGGGTATTCTTGATGGATCACTCAGGGGGCCCACTGCTGGTCTTAGGGGCGGTGGCGCAATGTTGCAGAGCCCGAGACCGTACAAACCTAAGCCTACAACCCTAATCGCTCGACCTCGAAAATCCTCAGCCCTGTTGGCTATTCTTTAGAAACATATCCGGTGCATTTTGTGGGTTTACAGTTAGTGGATCTGCGGCGCCATCATCAAAAATGATATTGTTTGCCATGCAGCACATGTGAATGCGCAACTGGCTTAGCTTCAGTTCCTTGGCAGAAGCGACCCGTTTTCCCAGTTTATGCAACCGTGTATGGACATCTTGGGCATCTTGGGCTCCAGTGCAAAGTGCCTAGCGTGCGGAGCCTGGTCCCCAGTTCGCACCTTTTGCCAAACGGCATGGCAGCAAAGGTCAGGGTGATCTTTGCCTGCACCAGATGTCGCTAACTTCGGAGATGGAGAGGAAGAGGGAGAAGGGAGAGGGGAGAGGGGAGAGAGGAAGAGGGAGAAGGGAGAGAGGAGAGAGGAGAGAGGAGAAGGGAGAGAGGAGAGTGGCGCTCTTTGTGTGCAGTACTGAATGCCTCGTCATGTATTTCCAGCGCATCATGCCCCGAGGATGTGCAAGCTTCATGCTTCAGGTTAGGTATACAAGGGTTGAGGGCTTAAATTGTGGTTTGTTCCCCCCACAACCCATCGCCGATCTGAGGGTGAACACCTTCATCGCTGCCTGGCTGAAGAGAGCCTTTCGAGCCGCCAGTCGCCCGAGTCCTTTCGAGCCCCAATCGCCCGAGTCCTCAATAGAGGATCTGGTTTCGGGAATATTTTTTCACAGGTCTTAAAGGTCAGTCAACCTAGGACCAACAAAGTCGCAACTCAGTGACAGGGCAGCCTCTGCCGAGGCCCTAAAACCCCATGGCGGCTCAGGGTTAAGGGTTTCGGTAAAGGGTCTCTCAGCCCACCCTATAGACGCCCTCGGCAAAACCTAAACTTTAAACCACAAACCCCACAGGGTTTTTTTGTTAACCTCAAAGCGCCCTGAACGCGGTTGTGGTCGTGGTGGTCGTGGTGGTCGTGGCCGGGGCCGTGGTCCTGATCCTTAAGAATCCTCCAAATTTTGCGAGCTGCCTCCTGAGCGACGGTGACCCGGAGGGAGAGCCTGTGGTGGTAGCTGCTGGGGGTGGTGCAGTTGGTGCCTGCGGTGTTTTTCCTGATCTCGGGGGTGGTGGCTATTGAGCTAGAGGAAAGAGGAGGAAGAGGAGGGGGAGGAGGCCCAAACGGCACTATGAGAAGGCCGGAAGGTCACCAGATTACCTTCACCACAGGCAGGCGTTCGCGCCACGCACCCGCGTAAAGGGGAGTGGGCCCCAGCTTCGACGCCTACCCTTGTCCGAGGGTGAGCGAAGCCCAGGATGTCGAAGACACGGACGACGAGCAGAGCGAGTTGCCCGTGTCGGCGATGAAGACCGAGCCTCCCCCAACATTGAACGGAGGCCTGGGGTCGGGGTATGGGGTGGATGAATGAGGGGACGTGGGGCGTATTTGGGCTTCAGTGGTTTTTACACTTCGTGCGCCCTCAATCCATGTAACAGAAAGGGATGCAATTTCCCGAAGAAGATCGGAAAAAATGATGGTTCAGGGGCCCAAGTGTCCCTCGAAGCCCCAGAATTTGACCGGAAGCCCCCTGCTAGTCAGCCCAACGCCCTATAAAGGGATTGCGCCCCCCCCGCTTCGCAACAAAGAGAACCCCCCCCGCCCCCACTTGCCTGGGGTCCGGGAGTCCCCCAAAACCCTAAAAACCCTTCGCAGACCCCCGAATTTGAATCGCCATGAAAAGCTTGCAGAAAAGAAATGGCCTCGAAACCCCTCTAAGCGCAGCAGAACCCTACAACCTTGAACGTCCCAAGAAACCCTAAACCCTAAACCCTGAACACCCTAAACCCTAAACCCTAAACCCTAAATCCTAAACCCTAAACCCCTGCTGGGAGGATTGTGCAGTCCGCTTTCGCACGCAGTATTCCCGAAGAGCGTTGTGAGGGAGCCCGAGGAGCCAGGGCTTGGGGGGGGGGGGTGTAGGGTTCATAGGGTGTAGGGTTTAGGGTTTAGGGTTTAGGGTTTGGGGTTTGGGGTTTAGGGTTTAGGGTTCATAGGGTGTAGGGTTCATGGGGTGTAGGGTTCATGGGGTTTCGGGTTCATAGGGTGTAGGGTTCATAGGGTTTCGGGTTCATAGGGTTTAGGGTTCATAGGGTGTAGGGTTCATAGGGTTTAGGGTTCATAGGGTTTAGGGTTCATAGGGTGTAGGGTTCATAGGGTTTAGGGTTTAGTGTTCAGGGTTCAAGGTTCAGCCATGAAGCCGGCTTCAGGCGCTTGGGGATTCAGAGTGTTCGCGTTGTGCGCCCATTCCGTCCATGATTGGACCACACCACCCACTTTCTCATGATACTGCGTTCGAGACATCTGGGGAGTGTTTTGGTCTTAGGGGGGAGGCGGGGGGCGGCGGGTACAGGTGGAGGGACCTCTCGAATTCTTTGCATGTTGGGCCTTTTTCGATCATACTACATTTTAACGCCAGAAAGGATATACTTCCACAGAAAATTGAAAAAACTCGAACCATCCTCATCCAAACTGGCACGACCCTGTGTTTCTTGTTGTCAAGCATAAGGCACCTCTCATTTCCAACCTAAACCCTCCCTGGGAGCCTGGGATAACCCTAACCCCCTAAACCCTAAACCCTAAACCCTGAATCCTAAACCCTAAACCCGGATGTCAGGAGACCGAGGCACATCGCAGAGCACCATGCCTCCTAGGCAACGAGCCACTTTGTGCCGATTTCGGCGTGGCGGACTCAGGGGAACCCTAGACCCTGAACCCTAAACAAAGCCAAGGTTTAGGGTTTAGGGTTTAGGGTTTAGGGTTTAGGGTTTAGGGTTTAGGGTTTAGGGTTTCGTAGGGTTTATGAATGTTGCTAGGGGCTGGGGGTTTGGGGAAATAGACTCACTTTCAGCACCGTGACCGGCCGTACTCGACGCACAACTGTCACAGTTCATTCAAAACCCCGAACACACACAGAATCGCTGTGATTCCATCGTGTAAAAAAGGCTTCGCAGTGTATGAAGAAAATCAGAATGCTTCGCTGATGCAAAACAACAGCTCAGCGGCGAACGGAGTACTGTTGCAGATAAACTTGCTTCATCAATGTAAGATGCTGCCTTGCACTTGTGGCAAGGTATCGATGGGCTGTCAACAAAGTTTGTAGCAGGAAGACGATCGCACACCTGTTGCAAGTTGTTGCTGTTGCACCACACTCAGCCGTTGTTATGCAGCCTTTGCAACCATGACATGATGCGAGCATGACACATACAACAGAAGTGCAGGAAACTTGAGCAGGAGCTATCGGCGGCATTGCGACGCATGACAAAGCTAGGTATGCCGTGGGTGAGCGTAGAGTAAAGGTTTGACACATGCAACCATTCGCCTTGGTTGATAGGCCCCAGTCCTCGCAAAGCCTACCGCTACTGCTAATCGAGTGGGTTGCTGGGTCGAAGGAGTTGGAAGTGAGGGGCAGGAGGAGCGAGCTGATGGGATCAGGATATGGTTGAGATGATGCAGGAGCCCAAAAAGGGGACCCTGGTTGGGAAAACGGCCCATATGGAGAAGGGAATGAGTGTCCTAAGCCAACCCTGAATGAACCCTGGGCATAGACCTTTTAGGGTTTAGGGCTTAGGGTTTTTTGGGTTTTCGGGTTTCGGGTTTAGGGTTTGGCTTTTCGGGTTTAGGGTTTAGGGTTTAGGGGTTAGGGGTTTAGGGTTTAGGGTTTAGGGCGGGTTTAGGGTGTAGGGGTGAGGTGAAAGTGACCATCAAGAACACCTTCATCGATGTTAGCTCGGATGACGAGACCGATGACATCTACATGGACAAGATCAAGAGCGAACCGGCCCCCTCGGCTACTAAGCCCTCACCCTCCACCCCCCCCCCCCCCCCCCCAAAAAAAAAAAAAAAAAAACACCTTAAACCCTTAGCCCTAAACCCTAAACCCTAAACCCTAAATCTTAATCCTTCTTCTTGTGGTTCATGTGGTGGGTATCTACTTTTGGAGTTTTGCTTGGGGTTTTGAAGACAGCCCTGGGAGTGCCAGCAGTTCCGGGCCAAATAGGGTTTAGGGTTTAGGGTTTAGGGTTTAGGGTTTAGGGTTTAGGGTTTAGGGTTTAGGGTTTAGGGGAGTGCGAGAGTCGAAGCCTTAAACCCTCATCCCTGGCGGCCCTGCGCTCTCTTAGCTCCTGAAGGGGGACTGCGGACTTCTCATGTTGCAGCAACATGATCATGGTCTTCTTGTGGGGAGGGCCCTAAACCCCTAAAACCCTTTTCCCCCCCAACCCCCCCAAAAAGCCCTCAACTCCTACCCTTGGTGACTTGGGTGAGGGCTGAATCATCCGGGGTTTCCGAAACTTGGGGTACCTTCTTGGGGTCCTTACGAGAAGGGGATCCTACTATTTGGGGGGCTCTAATGGGGTCCCTTATTTTCGGACATCCCCATATCCTTCTTTATCTAAGGCATGAGGTGGGTGAGCGTCCACGACCCATGTGGTCTCTTAAACCGTTAGCCCTTCACACAGCAGCCCACGGGCCCACGGGCGTATTTATCTGCATGCGCCAGGACACCTCCCTATAACCTGTTAAAGCCCTCAACCCTAAAGCCTTTTAAGCCCTAAACCGCCCAATCGAAGCTCCGAACCTCGAGCGGAGGCACACCCGACGCCTCTCTCCCCCGAGGGCGAGGTCCCGAAGCGAGTGCCTGGGTTCTTTTGGGGCGGTGGCTGATTGAGCCCCCCTTAAGGCCCCAAAAAGCCCGCAAACCCCGCAAGCCTTAACCCTGAAGCCCTTCCTCCCTGGACTCCTATACCCTAGACCCCGAAATCCTCCCAGGTGTGGCAGCCCTCCTCCGACCTCTCGACTCAGGAGGCAGCACGCCCTTTCTGGGAGGGGGCATGGAAGGTTGGGGTTCGGATGTTCAAAGGAAAGGGGGACGTCATTACACCCTAAACCCTAAACCCTAAACTCTGAGCTACAGGGTCCACATATGTTTTTGGGTCCACGCGAACGGTTGGGCTTTCGTAGAACGCGAGCCCCTGCTAGGAAGTCCACACCGGGTTGAATCCTTTTGCCTTGCTGTCTCCGCAAGTGTGCCATAAGGGTTTAGGGTTTAGGGTTTAAACCTTGAACTCCGTTCAGGGTTACATGTTGGGATCTTCCCCCCTAGATACTGACAGCCCTTAATCGGGATACTACTAGGAAATACTATCACCCCTGTTACATGGACTGTTAGTATGGGGGGGAAGATCCCAAGTTGCGGGCCTCAGAAGTCACAGCGCTGCGCCGAGAGCAGACTTAGTTGTTGAGAATCCTCCCAAGCAAGCTCGCAAACCTGCTGCCATGTGAAAAGAAGGTGGTTCGATTGAGGTTAGTGGTTCTTGCAACACAACGGTACCTTGGACCAGCCAAGCACAAGCCGCTGAAAGATCGCGTTTGAACATCAGCAGCAAGTGGCTCCATCTGAAGGAAGTGGAGGAGGAGCACGTGAACTCCGAGGACTCTGCCCACTCGGGCAAAGATGTGCCAAAGGCCACATCGTCCCACGTGGCCGCATGCCTGCAGTGTGACATGAGTCTCTATCCCCCTTGGGAATTATTTTTTATTTTGGTTTATTGAAAACTCAAGAGGATATTGAAAGTATTGTTTTTATGAAGGTTCTAAGGGGAGTATTGGAGAAACATGTGGACATGGGAAACCTCCAGAGCCTAGTATGCGCAATATGAGAGCATTGATGTTTTGATGTGTTCCTTGATGGCTCATTCGGGCTGCGCTTCGATTTCCTCTTGAATGCAATCGTTCCCACTGCGCAGAAGCGAAACCAAAAGGTTAGTTGATTCATACTCTCTCTCAAGCCTTCGCAGGTGTTGGACAGTTGGGCTCACCTACTCTGACAAAAACTACTCGACCCTATACCGTAACCACCTTAATCTCTCATGCCCGTACGCAAGGGCAGACCTGCACCCAGGCCCCGAAACTACAGAGAGCTCTCGTAGTATGGCAGGTACTTCCTGCGCAGCATTTCCTGTTTTGGGGCTCAGGTTTGCTTCGTTTATAGTTGGAATCTTGACCACTAAGGGATCAGCTGGGCTGTGGTCAGGGCAGTTCTCGAAGTTGTTTTCGCCTTTGGGCACCCGTGCCCGAAACATATGGCTCCGTGCATAGGGGATTAGAATTCCGAGATCTGGCCGTATCTTCAAGCACAATACAGGTTCTGGGGTAAATAGGACCCTACACCCTGAACCAAAAAAAGCCGCGCGGACTTGGAGGGTTTGGGGCCAGGCTGCCAGGCTGAGGTCTTTCCAGGGGCTCAACACAGGGGCCCAAACCACCACATAAACATACTAAGGATCCTACTATTGGGGTATCGGGGCCCCTGTAAGGGGGATTCCGAAAAACCTTGTTTGTAGGATCCCTAGGTTTTTTTTGGGGGCCCCTACAACAGGCTGGAGGGTGCGCTGGTGGACGATTCTTCCTATCTGTTCTTGACTGATTTCTTGCTCATGTGCTTATACTTCGTTTTCTCTTTTGTTTGTCACCTTTGAGCCCAAGAATCTGCTCCCCAAAGCCCAAAACAGGCTAAACCCTAGAAACCCTAAACCCTAAACCCTAAACCCTAAACCCTAAACCCAAGCTCTCAACTCAGATCATCGCACCCCTCGGTGAGCGTCGTCCAGAGCAGTCCGTTGGGTCTGCGTTGCACGGCTCGGCACAATGCAAGCCGTGCTCCTGGTTCTGGCTCCCTGGCTTAGGTTTAGGGTTTAGGGTTTGGGGTTTCGGGTTTGGGGTTTGGGGTTGCTCCTTGTTGTGGCTCCCTGGCTTGGGAGGTTTGGGGGGAGTTTGGGGGGTGCAGGTATCTGGATGGGGTTTGGGGGTTAGGGTTCAGGGTTCAGGGGGTTTGGGGTTTAGGGGGTTTAGGGTTTAAGGTGGTTTAGGGTTTAGGGTTTAGGTTTTGTTCCACTGTTTGCAGGTGTGTGGCAGTTTCGGGGGCTTCTGTGCGAGGGATGTAAGGAGATGTGAGGTTTGAGGGTTTGTTTCTTGGGAGTTTGGGTTTGGGGGGGTTTCAAGGTTTCAGGGTGGGTTTGGGGTTTTGAATCCTGAATCCTGAGCCGTAAACCCGAAACCCGAATCGCATACCCTGAGCCCCTTCTTTGGTGAGGCTTCCCCCTGAGGCGCAAGAGCTCAAGGCCAGGGACCTGAAGCCCGAAAGGGCAGCAAGACAAGTTCCGAGTCCACAGCATCACTTGAAATGCTTCCGTGCCTCTGGCGACTAGGGACTTAGGGTACCTTGTATCCCCCTATGAAACCCTTCAAGGACTCGATTCGAAAGGGGCCACTAAAATGGTGCCAGACCGCAGCCGAGGCGCCCGCAAGGCTGTTTTAACTCCGCCGACTGCGCCCACTGCCACATGTGTCTGCCTGGTGAGCTCAAGAGGCTGCGCTTCCGCATGCGACGGGGGTTGTTGCCGTGAGGGTCTTCTCTAATTTTGGGTCACCCTTTTTGCAGAGGCTGGTTCGGAACCCCCAAGCCCGAAACCCTTAACAGGAAGTGCCAAAGATACCCCAAGACCCTAACCCCAGACCTTAAGTCCCAAAAATCAAACAAAGACATCCTAGGCGGCTTGGTGCTGCTGGTAGTGTCTACCGACTGAAGCGCTGCAAGCGTGGGAACATCCTAACTTAATCACACCCATCCAAACCCTCCCTAAACCCTTAAGCCCGAACTTGCTACCCTGCAGTGTGGCCAGCCTGCTAGGGTTTAGGGTTTAGGGTTTAGGGTTTAGGGTTTAGGGTTTAGGGTTTAGGGTTTAGGGTTTAGGGTTTAGGGTTTAGGGTTAGGGTTTGGGGTTCAGCATCTCACGTCCAAGCATTTCACTAGCAGAGCTCCTTACTCCGGTATCGAATATCGACCCACCCATCCATTGGATCCCATAACATTATGACAATATTTTACTTTATGTTTTAATGTTTTAACCTTAAAACTTTAGGTTCAGTAGGCTGCCGCGCAGAGTAGGTCCTAAACCCTAAAGCCCGCCTAGAAATGTTCCTAAACCTAAAGCCAGCCCAGAGTAGGCCTTAAACCCTAAAACCAGGCCAGAATAGGCGCTAAACCCGAAAACTCGCCTAGACTAAGCCCTAAACCCTAAAACCAGCACAGAGCAGGAAAACCAGCCCAGAGTAGGTCCTAAACCCCTGAACCCGAAAGCCAGCCCAGTGGAAACCTTAACAGCCAGTCCAGATTCATCATCCTCCTCCGGAGAAGTGCATGAGATTTTGGTGGAAAACCGGGAAGTTTTTGTGGAAAACCGGGAAGTTTTGGTGGAACACCGGGAAGTTTTGGTGGACAACCAGGAACTTTTGGTGGAAAACCGGGAAGTTTCGGTTTTCCACCAAAACTTCGCGGTTTTCCACCAAAGTTCCCGGTTTTCCACCAAAACTTCGCGGTATTCCACCGGGAATTTTTGGTGGAAAACCGGGAACTTTGGTGGAAAACCGCGAAGTTTTGGTGGAAAGCCGCGAGGTTTTGGTGCAAACCCGCGAAATTTCGGTGCCATTTTCTGGTTGGTGCTTGTCCGCGAGTTGTTGGTGCTTGTCCACGAAATGTGGGTGCTCGTCCGGGAATTGTCGGTGGTTTGCCGTGAATTATTGCTTGTCCGCAAAATTTTGGTGGAAAACCGGGCCTTGCTAAAACCCCCAAATCCCACAAAGCCGCCATCCGAGGCTCAAGAAGGCCAAGCAGCAAGCGATGCGCGCTCGAGCACAGCGTTCTCAGCTCTTTTGTCAGAGTTGGGTAACATGTTACATTTGTAAGGGTACTTTCACACTCAATAAGGAATAGGAATACAAGGGTACTTTAACCCAACAAGGAATAGGAATACAAGGCTACTATTAAAACCCAAGAAGGAATTCGGACTTTTTTTTTTAAAGTACGATCCCAACTCCACGAAAAGCCGAGGCTCGAGGAGGCCGAAGCTCCTCCCGTGGGTCCTGTGGACGGGCCCTAAGACCGGCCCCTGAAGCTCGCATCCTTGTAGCACAGGAGTTCTCAGGAGACCAAAAAGGGGGCCCCCCCCTATGGCCAGGTAGGCCCTTAGGATATGTTTTGCGTGTTCCCCCTTTATGGGTTTATGGGATCATCGCCAGGAATATGTTTCAGAGGGTTTGAAGGGCCATCCTCGTGTCGATTGAGCTGTTTACGTTACAACGATGACACACAGTTCGCATAGTCAGGGGGCCCCCCCCCCCCAGACCTGTGTGACCCTCCTTCACTTAAATTGTCCATGGCACAGACACCCTTTGGACATGTGTCGAGCTGCCATTTCGTAATGTCAGCCGTCCATCGCTGCTACCTCTCTCGTGTAGTTGAGGGTTTTCGGGTTTAGGGTTTAAGGTTTCTACGCAACCTTTGCCATTGAATCTGCGCAAGCGCGCGGCGTTGCTGCTACCACGAGAGAGCCCGGCAGCACGTCTTTTCTGGTCATTTGTCCTTGCTGGCGAGGAGAACCAAGAAGCCACACAAGATTGTGTTTTTTTGGTTGTATGTTCTGCTTACTGCTTACTTTATATGTTCAGAATATACCGCTGCTGCCCTAACACATGTAGATCTGTCGCAAGGTCTTGAAATTTTTCTTCCCACCCGCGAGTTTTCCGCGCTCTTCCCACAAGCTGGTCGAGCCGTTAATGGCAGAAAGGTGTCTTTTAGAGCTGGGTTCTGCAAGCTTCGGCTAGGTCCTTTGAGACGAGGAGCTTCTCACGTTTTCTCGTGCTGATGAGGAGTCCTGCCGAGCCATTTAGGTTCAGGGTTTAGGGTTTAGGGTTTAGGGTTTAGGGTTTAGGGTTTAGGGTTTAGGGTTTAGGGTCAGCCCCATGTCCTGCAACCTGTTCAACCCAGACTCCAGCAGGATTCTGATTCTCAACCGAAGGTCTTTGTCCTCAGGCAGGGAGCTATAGACTTTCTCCCGGACTTTTGCCACTCACTGACCGCATCGGTTCCCCACTCAGTGTCAGCCCATCGACACCCGGGGTCGACCCTAAACCCCCCAAAACCCCGGGAATTCCTAAACCCTAAGCCCTAAACCCTCAACCCTAAACCCAAAACCTTATTTGAGCCCCAGACGCGGCCCACGTGTTTCAAATGAAGTGGCCAATCAAATCTCATCTCCAAGTCGTTGCATCTTGGGCTTGCTGCCAGGGTCCCTCACGGGATCGGTATGTGGGTTTAGGGTTTAGGCTTAGGGTTTAGGGCGTGATGCTGGAACCGGGCTGCAGTGAACCGAGGCCGTAAAAGGGTTTAGGGTTTAGAACTTTAAGGGGGTTTAGGGTTTAGGGTTCCGGGTTTTACGGCTCAAGCCATCTCTGCTACGAGACCCGAACGGGCACTGCACGTCTTTAGATCTCCATCGCACGCAATGGATCTCCCAGAGTAAGCTTTCGTCATGTCCTGGTTACTCCTTGCGACTGGCAAAATGCAAGGTCCCTGCAAAGGTATGTCCTCTTCTGCAGGAGGCGCTGTATCAAAAGAACAGGGCCGACACACGGCAACGGCGAACTGCAGAGACACGGACGAGGGAACTGCTGCGGGTCTTAGATGCTTTCATCAGCGCCCGCGCCGTCTTGAGCCATCCGCTTCGGTCAGTGCAAAACCCGAGCACTCTTGCGTCATCCTGTGGTGTGTTATGCACCGCTTGTGATGTGGTGGCAATTGTTCGTCCTGCTCAGCCTCAAGCTGATCTTGAGCAGCTTAAGGAACAGCATTGGGCCAACAGAGGAGCAGGGAAACGAGGAGACTGAGGGATGAAGAAAGACGCTTTCGCTGCATGTCCCAACAAGAGTCCGAGCATGTGGACGGCTGCAGACACACTGGCGAGATGATCGCATCAAAGTGGTCTTGCGCAGATTGGGCCGCTCGTATGCAGCATTGTGTACAGTGTGGAGATTCGTGTGTTCCATGATCCGGAGCGTTGATCAGATCAAATGTGTGTCATAAAGTTCGTATCAGTTAGTCCCAGAACCAGTTTCGCAGGCTCTGTTAGGACTGCTTGTAAAACACCACCTTTCAGAATTGCCTGTGGCCGAGCTTCGCTGCGAAAAAGGGTTTGGGGGTTAGGGTTCCTAAGCCTTGGTGCGGGGCTGAGGAGGGGCATCGAGGTCCCTCAAGGGTTTAGGGGTCTAGGCGGATGTTCAAGAGTCCCCTCCCCATGTGGGAGTTGGGGGGCCCGTTTCTTGAAGGCTGTGACCCCAAGTAAGGGCCCCTACTTTGATTGCCTCCACCCTATGCTTCGTGCTGTTCGTGGTGGAATGTCCCGGCAGCAAGCCCAACGTGTAGGGCCGGAGGGCATGGGGGGAGGAAGAACGCCGAAGTTGCGCGCAGCCATAAGTTGGCTCCCCTGCATGGGGCTAGCATCTGCTCTCGGGTCACTATAGTCCACTAGGCGACTTCGTGGTAGGGCTCATTTAAAAAGTAACGATCCTCCCCTCCAGAGTGCCCGGCCTACGCCGTTGCAGATCATGGCGCAGACAGTGACACCCCGCTTGCCAGAGTGCGCTGCGGCCTGCACTAGTTTTAGCCCGATCTGACGAACCTATTTGCGAAGGGCCTTGTGGTCTGGAAGCCTTCCCTGACATACCCGCAGTTGAGATTTATGTCTCCGGCTTCCAAACCAGGGATCTTCGTGGCTAGACCGATCACGTTCCGCAGAGGCGGACAAAAGTTGTTTTGGGTTTGCGAGGCCTAAGGTCCAGGCCGCAAGACCAGTTCTGGATTCTAAGCCCTGAACCTCATCTAGGGTTTGAAAGTGTAGGCTTGAAAAGCTTTCAGCCGTGCTTGCCCATCACCCGACGGCATTTTCTGCTGACGACCAGGCTAAGGGGGTTCCTCTACATTGGGGTTTTTGTGTCCCCTACCAATAAAGCTCCTTATGATACGAGCCGGAAAAAGGGACCCCTCATTCAGGGAACCTCCCACGTTGAAAATTCCTTGGGAGCTGGAAAGCCATGAATCTCACCCCCAGAGTCAAACTGCCAAAAAGGGACCCTGTTCTCCCTAATTTATACGAGCCCCTTCCCTCCACCCTCCCCTCCCCGCTGTCCAAAAGGGGCAAGCTGTTGATTCCTAGACAGGGCCCACTGAAATAGGGCCCATCGTTAAGCGAAGCCATGGCTGGTCTCGCCCATGCCTTGTCGATACCAGGGGACCCAGAGGTCTCTTAGCCGATGGTTTGGAGGGGACTCAAGGGTTTAGGGTTTAGGGCTTAGGGCTTAGGGTTTAGGGTTTAGGGTTGAGGGTTTATGGCAAGGCGGGCGAAGTCTCTTGGGAAAAGGGCAGGGGCTCAGGATTGACCATCGCCCTGAATTTCAGGGTCATTCTTAGAGGTTGCCGAGCTGAGGGCTTGCAAGAAAGGGAATGCTAAACGCTAAACCCCTAAGCCCTAAACCGGAGGCTTCGAGTTTGCAGTTCCGGGTTTTGTGCTTCATAGCACCCCCCCGTGCTCACAGCCACCAAGGCTCCTTAAACCCTCAAAGCCCAGGCAACGCTGAGCCCTTATCGATGTAAAAGGAGGGGCCATGACCCCGCAAGGAGCGTCAACTGGGTTACACGATGATAAATACGGTGTAGGCCCCTGCACACTGAGAGACCGTATGAGCCCGCACATGCAACCTAAACCCTAAATGCTAAACGGCTAAACGGCTAAACCCTTAACCCTTAACCCTTAACCCTTAACCCTTAACCCTTAACCCTTAACCCTTAACCCTTAACCCTTAACCCTTAACCCTTAACCCTTAACCCTTAACCCTTAACCCTTAACCCTTACCCCTTAACCCTTAACCCTTCACCCTTCACCCTTAACCCTTAACCCTAAACTGAACAGAGACGTCCACAAGCCATGGACAGCTTCGCATCTAACCTTAGATGTTGGGATGCTCCCCCTTATACAAACAGTCCTTAGTAGGGATTAGTGTTAGAGTACCTCCCCTACTATAGTCCCAATTAAGGGCTGTTAGTATGACCCTAAACCCGAGTGCAGTGCGGGTGGCGAAACCCTTAAACCCTAAACTCTAAAACCCAAACCAAGTACCTTAGATGCGCAAAAGAGACGCAACACCGGCCCTTTTACGAAGGCTTGCCGAAGGCTCTGTGCGGAAGCCTCCGGCTCGCAACGCTGGGGTGGCGCGGCGGCCGGTGGGTGAGTTTAGGGTTTAGGGTTTAGGGTTAATTAGGGTTTAGGGTTTAAAGCTTAGGATTTAGGGTTTGGGGATTTGGTGCTGATAAGGTTTGGGGCCTGGAGTCAAGGGATAGAGGGACGATGGGCTTTGGCTTGGGAGGTTTTTGGGGTTAAAATCAGGGCCTCAGAGCATCCGCTCCCCTTTTCCGAGCTCCCCTACGCAAAAAAATAGCTCGCGTTCCCCATTGTTTAACAAGAACCTTGCTGATGAAAAAGGTATACCGACATGGTGCTTGAGCCTCATGGATTGAGGATGCTCCCCCGCCCGCCCGCCCAGGTCCGGCAGAGCAGCAAGTGCTTCTGGAACGGCTGCCCACGCTGATGCAGCGGCTGCATGCGTGGCTTCTTGAGTCTGCTTCCCCACTCTTGATTCCTAGGTCCTAAGCGCCTGAAGACCCTGAGGCATCAGCTATGAGGTGTGGAAAGGGAGGGGGTTTATTGAAATTGTGGAGTACCTTCTCTAAGGCTAAACGCAATGTGACCCAACAGAAGTGCATGTGATTTAGCTCCCCGATAGTCCAGTTTCAGGTTCGATGCAGTTTGAGTGGCCGTGGAGAGATGTGAACGGCTTACATTGAATGCAGTGGCAGGGAAACCCTAAACAAGAACGAGATGGAGTCAGAAAACTCCTAGAAGCCCTCGGCATTCAAGAGATCATCCCCCAGGACAACGCCTGCAACATCTCAACCCTAAATCCCAAACCCTGAACCCCACACCCAGCCTCTTGTAAGGTTTGGTTTGGGAAATCCTGGCCTGGAAGAAGCTCTGAAGCTCGGACACGAACCATGCACCACCCCGGCTGTTGATCTCCGCTTTTGGGGCTTAGCGGGGTTTTAGGGGCCAACATCCAGAAAAGAGAGAGAGAGAGAGAGAAGCCTGCGGAAAACGGCTTAGAGCTTTGTCCTGTCGAGTCCTTAGGGGCAGTTTCCGTCGGCTGAACACGAGGCCTGCCTTCACAAGTAGGAGTGGTTAACTGGCATTCCGCTGTCGCTGATTGTAATCCATGCCAACAACTGCTGCCGTGAAGCCCGCATGGCTCACAATGATGTTCGGACAGATTGCCAATGTCAATATTTGGGAAAATATTTGTTAAAATTACCGGGAGCGGTTTGTGCTGTATCACCGTCATTTCGAGCATGACCTGGCTGTCATCTTCGGGTATATCTGCAACACAACGAGGCCTTAAGGCCTTGAGGGCTGTGGGAGGTTGAGATGAACAATGAAGACCTTCATCTGTGCCTCAGCTTTGCCGACTTTGGGGACTTTTGGGGGCACGGCTCTTCTGGAGACTCTAAATGCTGGCCGGTCCCTCTCTACAAACGCACTGAATCCACAGAACGCCGCCGAATCCCCCAAACCATCCCAAAGCTCTCAAACCGAAAACGTCCTGAAACCCTAAACCCTAAACCCTAAACCCTAAACCCTAAACCCTAAACCCTAAACCCTAAACCCTAAACCCTAAACCCCGATTAAACCCTAAACCCTAAACCCTAAACCCTACTCCAAAGAATCCCCCCAAAGGCTGCGCACTTTCCACCCCCGCGGGCCGCTGGCTGCCCACCTTGCAACGACGGACCACTGGTTCTTGACGTTTCAGGTTTCATCGCATATCATAGTTTAGTAATATCCTAATATTGCTTATGAAAGAGCATAAGATCATATCATAGTATACTCACATTGCTTATAAAAAAAGTCCGTATAACATCATATCATAACAAAACAGGCTATTATAACTATTCTTGTAGTATCATGGTATATCGAAATTCGTGCTTTTGCTGTTGCGATTCTCATTGCTGCTGTCATGGGTCGGGGGACCGCGTCGCCGCCGGACTGTTTCGGAGCCTTGAGTATTGAGAAGATCGCGCCTTAGTTGGGAGTTCAAAGGGCCCTGAGTCCTAAACCCTAACATTGGAAGTTCCCTTCTGCGCTTGGCTCTACGTCTCTGAGGGACTCAGGGGGGGAAGCACACGCGCCTCGAAGCTCCTGAGATGAGATGGGAAGGGTTGATGTATGTATGCATACATATATATATATATAATGTATGTATGTATGTATATATATATATACATATACACCCCCTTGAAGTTCAGCCCTAAACCCTAAACCCAAACCCCCTTTCAGAGCGCAACCGAAGGAAACGCCTTCCTTCGTCTTCCCGTTGCGCAAGCTACCGCCGCGCACGCTCAAGGCAACGGACTTAGAGGGCTGCTCGTGGGTTGCTGGTGTAATGAACATAGACGATAACATGGGGGGGGGGAGGGCCCGAAATTAGGGGTACCTTATTGGGGTCCTTGTTAGAAGGGAATCCTACTATTTGGGGTCGATATCATGGGTTTCGTATTTTCGTGAACTCCCATAAAACAAAAATGGGAGCATGTTTGATTTTAGTTGGGGGGTTGGGGGTGTAATGTTAGGGGGAGGGATTGAGGAACGCATCAGTTTGTCTTATGACACCATGGCACATGAAGGGCTTTGGGTGTTTCGGGCTTAGGGGCATGTAATCGCCAATTATGTTGCCATGGGCATGTTCCGGAAATTCTCACCACCCACGCCTCCAGAGGGGTCTGAGTCGAGGCGCTGGTCTTGGCCTGTGGCGGTGGGCCGCTGCCGCAGACGCAGCTGGGTGCGCCACTCCCACAGTCACAGCCCTACGCCCAGGCCCCCTACGCCCCCTACGCCCACTCCCACGGCCTTTCCGGCCTTTCGTGGGGGGCCGTGGGGAAAGGTGGGTGGTGGGGTGGGGGGGTTGGGTGGGAAGGTGATGGACGGAGGTTCCCGAACTCCGTGCTGAACGATCCGAACTCACTGCCCCTCTGCATGTCGTAAGAGGGTTTAGGCCCAATCCCTGATTCCCTAAGCCCAAGTCGAAACCCTAAAGGGCTGCGGAGATTTTCGAGGTTTGGTTGGAGTCTTAGCAGATCCGTGTGGCTACTGGCTTGAAACAATCCAAGCACCCAAAAGCCCGAATGCCTGCCTCAAATCGTTAGAAGCTTCTCGGTGCGTTTTCCCCATCTTTGAGGGGGTCGTGCCACTCTTCCCCGTCCTCCGATCCCGGGCTGTTTGTCGGTACTTCAAGCAATGTCTAGTCTAGTCTAGTGTTTGTCACGACCGGCCCTGGGGGGGGGGGATAATTTTGCAGTATTCTGAAATTTTGGGATTCCATCTGTCTTATAGGTTTCGCTGCGGGGATGGCCGTGTGACATGTTTTCTGCGACCCTTGAAGGCACCATTCTCCTGACAGTCTCAATTATCCTGCAAGGTGGCCTGCGTGTCAGCTACAGGCTTGTCCTACACCCTAAGCCCTAAACCCTAAAACCCTGCAATGTGGACGTACAGTTCAGCTAAGCGGGCGGCCCAAAAAAAGGGCCCTAAAACCCCTCATCCTGCCCCCTCAGAGTCTCCATTTCGGCTCAGGTTCGCGCTCTTGGGCCCCACGCGGCTGGCCGGGGCGTCCTCGGACCTGGAGGGACTCCTCCTGACGCCCCAGGAGGGCGTTTTGTGTTTGAGTGGTTTACGACTTTTTTGGGGGGTTTTAGGCTTGTGGGGGGATCTGGGGCTTTTGAGGATGTGGGTTCGGGGACGTTGGGCGTTGGGTTTGGCCTTGCTGGGGCTTAGGTTAGGATGGTGCAGGGCCAGGGTTTGAAAAGTTTTTCGGGGCTGCTCGGGGCTGCTTCCAGGAGTATGTCCTCACGACCTTCGTGTACTACCTGGTGGCAGAGCCGCCTCCACCATCCAAGGTCAGGTGGTGTAGGATCCCATAACATCCCAGAACTTGGGATGTCCCCCCTTATACTAACAGTCCTTACTGGGGATTACAACAGGGGGTACTAGAATCGGTATTAAAGGACTGCTAGGATATCGGGGATTATTCCAACCCATGCCCCTAAACCCTATAGACCTTGGACCCTCAACCCTTCAAAGACCCTAGAGACTCTAAAGCCCTCGAGCCTCGACCTGAAGCAGGCCTCCGGCACTGGCAGCTCCAGTTCCACAAACCCGAGCTCCTCTGGGACTACGAACCCAGGGTCACAGGGCCAGACGCCTGGGCTGCAGCTGCTAATAGGGCTCAGAGCCCATGAGGACTTCGGTTTTAGGTCTTGTAGGGCCTAGGTTTCCCAAATCAACCTGTCCCTTTGTGAGGGCATACGGGGCGACTCCAATTTTGAGAAGGACCGTGTGTCATGAAAAGAAATGGATGCTTTTTGGGGGGGATCTGTGGTTAGAGTATCAACCGAAATGCGTGCCCATTTTCTGCAGCTATCGGCCTCCGTACCCGCCTCACCTCACTTGTGCTTGTGCCTTGCGGACCTTGGTGCCGCATGGAACTTTCCAGATTCCCAACCCTTGAATCCCGAAGTCCCAACTGCTAAGCCCTCAGCCGCTACATCAACCCTAACAAAACCCCATTCCCCCCATTCCCCCCATTCCGCCTGCCCCCCCCCCCCCCCCCCCCCCCCCAAAACACGTTTTGAGGATTCCTCCAAATCAACCCCGCAAAGAAGCCTCGCTACACGCCCCGAACCTGTATGTAACCCCGGGTTTTGGGGTGTGTTTTGAGTACGTGCTTCCAAAACCCTAAGCCCTAAAAATCCAAAACCTAACCAAGTTTACCCTAAACACCCTGAACAGCCTAAACACCCTAGAGCCCCAAACGCCCTAAACCACAGAACGCACAAATCGAGAAGTGTACCAAGCCGAAACCCTAAAACCCTAGACCAACCCTAAAAAGCCCTAAAAACCCCCTAGAAAAATAACAACACCCTATAAAACACCCTAAGAAAACCCCCCCAAAAAGCCCTACAAAACCCCAAAACAAATCTCTAAACCAGTCCAATAAGCAGTGAGGGGCTCCATGGTCGGTACCTGGGGTGGGTCCTCGCGGTCGAGCCGGCAGTTGGGGGCCCTCAGCTCCACATACGACAGGCTGGGGATTTTGGATAGGGTTTAGGGTTTAGGGTTTAGGGTTTAGGGTTTCGGGTTTCGGGTTTAGGGTTTAGGGTTTAGGGTTTAGGGAGGGCCGAGGGCTTCTTTTCTTTTTTTTTTTGGGGGGGGGAGGGGGGGCGAACGCGAAGGGGGAGGGGATGTGTAGGGCAACAGGGTTTTTGGGTGTAGGGTTTAGGGTTTAAGGGTTTGTGGCGGCAGGCTCTTGCTCGCGCACATGCAGACGCATCTGCCCCACCGGCAGTATGAGGCTCGCGCGCAGGAGACAGCCAGTAGGGTTGCCTGTAAGGAGTCCAAGTACCTAAAGCCCCCAAAAGCTCGTAAACCCTGTAAACCCCAAAAAAGCTCAAAAACCCTGTAAACCAAACCCTAAACCCTAAAACCCTGTAAACCTGAAGCTCCGAAGGAGTCCCGGGCCTCCCTGTTCTTCACCCGGCTGCTGCATGAGTTTCTCTTCGCTACTCGGCGGTGGTCGTCGTGGTAAGGGGTTCGCAGTTCCCGAGCTAATGTTCAAAGGCAGAGAGTCTTGCCTAGTAGGGCTCTAGGGCGCAACCTCCTCCAAAAGCCTCTCTAGGATTGAGGCTTTCGGGTTTAAAGTGTTTAGGGTTTAAAGGGTTTAGGGTTTAGTGTTTAGGGTTTAGGGTTTAGGGTTTAGGGGTATGGGTTCAATATCCCTGAATTCCAATCCCAGGCACAGCTGCCGTTCGGAGCAGGTAGCTTCGGGACCTGCACCTCAGACGTGCGGCTGCAGCCCGCGGCCCTTCACGCGAGTCGGTTGGCCTCGTGGCGAGAGTCCCTAAACGCTAAACCCTAAACCCTAAACCCTAAACCCTAAACCCTAAACCCTAAACCCTAAACAACTCTAAACCCGCAGCCCTGCGGGTGGCAAGAACACAAACCCCAGACCCTGGATCCGAAAAACCCTAAACCCTAAACTCAAACTTTACGGGTTTCAGATGAAGTTTCAGGGCAATGTTTGTGGTTTAGGGTTTAGGGTTTAGGGTTCAGGGTTCAGGGTTCAGGGTTCAGGGTTCAGGGTTCAGGGTTCAGTTGGCACATCTCATCGGGCGAGCGGGAGGGGCTTGGAAGCACGGGACGGGGAGAGGGGCTGATCCAAAGGGAAGCCTGTGAGAGAACTCGAAAACGTAAGAGGGGCATCAAGCGAGGAAAATCCTCAATGCCGGGGGGAGCCTTCAAGGATGCCTCAGTAGGCAAGGCAACGAAAGAGAGAAAGAGAGAAAGAAATAAAAGGGAGAAGAAGAATGCAGCAAATAAATATACATGAGCAGAGACAGAAAAAGACAGAGATAAAGAAAGAAAGCAGGAAAGAAAGGAATCGTGGGAGAAAAACAAAAAGAGAAATGCATGCACGCGTAAACACCGAAACAAGCAAGGAAATTATGCACCTAGTATAACATACCGAGTAAATGCACAAAAAGGAAGATAACCGACAAAACGAGCGAGAGAGTGATAGAGCAAGAACGAAAGACGCCCGCACGTCCAAAGCATGTCGTGCGGGAAGCATTGTACGTTTTCGGAGCACCTCTGGAGAACAGGGAGGATCTCAAATCAGCCCCCCCCCCCCCCCCCAGAGCCGATGTACCATTTCGCTTCGAAGTGCTCGCGGACTGCGTGGGGAAGGTTGAAATTCCTGACCTCAAGCTCCAAGAAGGGAAGAAAGACTGTTTTTACCTTAGTAGCTGAATGGGTACGCTTTACACCTTTTGGGCTACAATAATCACCTATAGAACTGCAAATGTACACGTTCTGGGGCTTATGAACTCAGCAACTAGATTATAGACCGAAATACATACAAAGTAAGAAGCAAGAGTCCGCCCCCTCTCCCACTACCTTCCTCCCTCTCCTCCCCTCCTCTCCCCCCCCCTCTGCCCTCCTCTCTCCTTATGTACAAATCGGGCAGCCTCCGCCGCCCAGCCAACCAAGCAATGTTTAACATGCTGGTCGCTTCACAAGAAAGAGACGTTCGGTAAGGTGAAAGGCCTGTACTGAAACTGTTGCGACGGGGCTGCAGCCCCCTCCCCAACCGCTGGAACAACGCCTGGAGCAAAGCCAGACCCCTCTCCCCTGCCGAGCACGTTTGCCTCGCCCCCACCAAAGCCAAGCCAGTTCAGGCATGCATTAACACATTTCCACCATACAGCTTGTTTGCACTTTCTGTTGAAGTTGCTACAGGCCCCGCAAGGCCCGTATACACTCCGAACCCAGCAGCTGAGGTGGTGCTCCACCTACTGGCCAATCCCTGCATCTAGTCTGCCATCATGGTCCCGGCGCGGTGGACTCCCCAATGCTCTCTGTCTCTGTCCCAAGGTCCTGCGCCTAAACCACTTAAAGCGAACCCCTACACAGTCAGCCTAGCTTTGTGTGCGACTTTGCAGGGACGGAGGCGCTTTGGAATTAGCCTCATACCCCTACCCTGAAAACCGCATTGACCCGAGAAGCCACAAGACATCTCAGGCCTCCGCCAAGGGTGTGAGGAGACGGCAGACAGGATGATGTGCCCGGGTGGAACTCTTGCGCTTTAAGCTTGCAGCCTGGTCTCTGTTCGAAAAGGCTGCATAGACCCTGAGCCCTGAAGGTGGACACTTTGATCATCCGAAAGCCTCTATGCATGGTGTGTGTGTGTGTGTGTCAGTCCCAGGATGGACGCCAGAAATCAGTTCGGGCCACAGCGCATGCAGTACATGTGGGTGGCCCGCATCACGCGGGAGATGAGCCTACTGGGCCCCGCGGCAATCCAGATGATCGCGGAGCTGCTTACGAAGCTGCAGTCTCAGAAAGAGGCAGAGGGTCAGGATCACTCCAGACCATTACCGCTTAGCTTTTCGTTTGGGGGTTTCTCTGAGTTGTGGTTCCTTCTTGAGGCACCCCCTAAATGCTAGAAGCCTCGCGAAGTTTCCCGAAATTCCCTAAACCGCCTCCCAATAACGATACCCTGAACCCCTCAGGGCCCCCCGGGGGTTGGCCCCCCCCACGTTCTCCTTTAAGCCCCCCTCTGAAAGCCTTAAGGCCTTCAGACCTCGGACCCTTAAAACCCCCCCCCCCCTCCCTCCATTAAGGCCCCATAAGCCGAAGTTCCCTTTCAAGCCTTAGAAGCCCTGAAAGGTGGGCCTGGAAGCGGTCACCTCACTGACTCGCCTCTGGCTTGTCTTCCTGCAGCCTTGGAAAGCTCCGCGGCTCTATGCCCAGTGTCTGCAAGAAGTTCATCAAGCCAACGATTTGCTTTAGACCCCCCCTAAGAAAGAGAATAACACCCCCCCAAAAAACCAAAGCAAAAGCCCCAAACCCCGAAACCTCCCAAACTCCAAAAAGCCCAAAGACCCGAAAAGCCCAAAAAGCCCAAAAAGCCCTTCGAAAACCCAGGAGTGGTACCTCTCACTGCGGCCCACGACGCCCCGCTTGGAGCCGGCGCAGCCGTCGGCTGCGAAGACGTCGCACCCGGGCTTTTCGAAGCTTTTTGTTTGAGCTGCACTGTTGTTCCGGCTTCGAAGCTCTCACACTTTCTGCCGCCCAAGTTCGTCGTCTCGACAGCATCATCCTCGTGCTAGGGCGGTCTTCCACTGGGTTTCTCCGATCACGTTCGTGTTCTTTATCCGCTTTCTTCGTCCTCTGGTCTCTTTTAACTATTGTGTGCTCGCCTCCAAAGTATAGCGATCTTTCTTCTTCTCGGCCGCCCGAATAGTAAGCCTTTAAGCCCGGAAAAGCGCTGTAAACCAATTGAACCCTAAACCTGCTAAACCCTACTTGGAGGTTCATGGTACTTATCAACCAATTACAACTGTACATATAAAAGTATATATAACTTAGAACCGTATTAGGGCGCTTAAGGGGCTTATAAGTGGGTTGTAGGTACAGATATATCTGGTTCACAAGTACCATGAACCTCCAAGTGGGGACCCCTAAAGGAGTCCCCCGAAACCCTAAACCCTAAACCTGCTAAATTCGCTGAACCCTAAACCTGCTAAACCTTAGCCTGAGCCCGAACAGCCCAAAGGAGACCGGTTGACGTCGCACTGCTGGGAATGGAGCCGGAGACCACGGGCGAGCCACCTGTACCGCCACCTGGTTTGAGGATTGTGGGATTTTGGGGTTTAGGGGTTTAGGGTGAGGCAGCGCTGGCAGTCATCAAGTCCGGTTTCAAAAAGGGGTTTAGGGTTTAGGGATTTTGGGGTTTAGGGGTTTAGGAGTTTAGGGTTTAGGAATTTTCGGGTATCAGGATTCAGGGTTCAGGACTGGTGTGCTACGTGTTAACTTATTATGTAACTTTCCCGGCCGACCTGCCACAATTCTGTGCATATGTATATCTACACATGCACACACACACACACACACACACACACGTATAACGATTTTTGTCTGTCCACCCATCCATCCATCTTTCGCCCCCAAATCAACGCTCATCTCACGGAGGTTGGTTCCCAAGGAGGCCCTCGAGGACGTGGACGTGCAGAGCACGGTCAGTGCCGGCACGCGGCTGGCAGCTGCGGCTGGGTGGCTCGGGGGCGGCTTATTGGGTAGTTATACAGGTAGTTATGTACATTAAGGGGTTCCTTTTGAGGGGGATTCTATGATTTCGGGGGGCAATCCCCCATTTAAACTCCATCAAAGCCACCGATCCTTTCGGATAATTCAAGGTTGACATCCGCCGGCTTATCGCTTGCGGCCTCGGCGGCTGCCACTTCCCACTTGGTGCCAGGCAGGGATTTGGGGTTTAGGGTGTGGGGTGTATGGGTTCAGGGTTTAGGGGTTCAGGGTTTAGGATTCGGGGTTCATGGCTTTTCGGGTTTCGGGCAAAGGGGGGTTTAGGGTATGCTTGGTGCAGTTTAAAGTTTAGAGTTTTTAGAGTTAGGGACTCGTCCGGCCGCAAAAGAAAGGGGTTTGGGGTTTATTTAGGGGAGGCCATGGCTCAACAAAAACCGGTTTGGGGATGCGGCTTAGGGATGACGGGGGGACTTGAATCTGCACGAAGTTGCATGGCTTGGGTTCCTAATTCTGCTCCTTTACCTTCTTCAGGCTTATGAAGTATGGGCCCTTGGGCTGTGTAGGGCACATAATGTTGGACTCGCTTTAGTGCGCAGGGCCCCCCCCCCTGGGGGCAGGGCGGGTAGGGGTCGAGGGTTGAGGGGTAGCCTTGAAGCTTGAGGGTCCAAGCTTTCCAGGCTTTGTAGCTCCACGGTCGCCGGGGCTCCGCATAAATGCGGACCACCGAAACAACTTGCTAAAGCGAATCAGGGCAGTTCGTGGCCTACTCCCTTGGAAAATTGTTTGGGGGCCTGTTTCGTAATGAGATTTTTAAAGGAAGTTAAATAAGGCTGGACACCAAAATATTCCAGAGTTTCTTATTCAAGACTTTTAGTTTTTGGCTCCCCGGCCCCCCGCCCTTCAACCCAGGCCCGCAAACATCGCATAATTGAGGACCACCCTAAACAATGGGGGGGTCCCCTATAGGATTTCCGGAACATCGCATAATAGTGCCCCTTCTCACTAAAGCGAGTGCAACATTACTAAGTTCAGGGGTACATAAAGGTTCCCCCAAATGAAGGGCCCCAAGTGTGTAGCTGCTAAGGGGCAATGTAGCTACCCTAAAGAGTGAAAGGGCTTATAGTCAGAGTCGGGATGCGGCCCTGGCTTATGGGGAGGACTTCTTTCAGGCACATGCTGGGGGGATCTTGAGGGTTGAGGGTTGAGGGATGAGGGATGATGATTCCGATGCTTGTGCCCCCAAGGCGCAGGGGACCCATCCTCCTGGCAGAACTACGTCCGGGGCTTTCAGGGAGCCTACCTCTTGCTGGAGGCCATTCTCTCCACACCCTTGCCTCTCGGAAGCACAGTGATGGTGTGTTTTTTTGGTCGCGGCTAAACTAAACGTGGAACAACAACTTCTGCAGAGAAATCTCGGCGATTTAAGCAAGCCTTGCGAGTGGTTCCTTGCCAAGAGCCAGTAAAAGCATAAGAAGCTCTGAAGGCACGCGGAGCTCTGCTTGGAGCTGGTGCGGCACGGGGCGGGGTGGGACCGCAACGACAGCATCTTCGCGAACGTGGGGCTAACGGCCGCCAGGCCACCCTCTGTGAAGCATGTTCGGACCCTTCGATTTGGGTGAGGGAATCTATGGTGATTTTGGTCTTGAGGTTTTGAAGCCTTCAGCTTCCGATGCAGCGTCATTTAGGGTCAGGAGATTTGGGGTTTGGGGCCTTACAGCGGTTTAGGTTTAGGGTTTTATAGTTTTATCACCCCTTCTACCTTGCATTCCCTCTCTCACCTAGCTGTGCAGTGACTCGTCCATCGATCCGAAGTGCAACCCTAAACCTCAACTGCAGCACGATTTGGGGCTGCCAGGCCCTCGCCCACAGGGAACTGGGGCAATACGCCCCCGCCTACGGCGGCGCACCTCCTGAGGTGCCGGCTGGGATTCAGGGCTTTGGGCTTTGAACTCATACCGGGTTTAGGATTTGGCAGTTGAGGGTTTTGGGCTTTGAAGGTGTAGGATTGAGTTTGGCATCCCGACCCTAAACATTGAACTTGTGCGCGGCTGCAAGAAGGGAGTTCTGCACATTGCCTGGACCCCCCCCCCCCCTCCCTCCCCAAACTACCAACAATAACTACAGCCCCCAAAGGGTCTAGATCGAAGCGTTTAGGCATTTTGGGGCGTCCAGGTAAGCAGTTCAACCGAGGCAGCGCCATGCCATCCAGGCACTGAAAGCTTTGGGCCAAGCTCTCCTTTGCTTTGACGGCCTCCTGGCGGGATGCTGTTTGCGGGTGGGCTTGAAGCATGGGGCCGGGTTCAAAAAGGCCTTATGGGGTTTATTCATGGGCAGATGCAAAAAAAAGGTTTTGAGGGGTTATTGGCTTACGGCTTGGACCGCATGTTCCTCACAGGGACTGCTTCTGTCTTGCAAGACAGCTATCAGCAATGCAACTATTCTGACCTGGTTCCTGGGGTTTGGGGTCCTATTAATCTCCAGAATCGAAAGTCACCCAGGCCAGCTTCTGCAAATACTGCAGGGCCTGCCTCCGGACTGCGGACAGTGGCTTGCGGAGCGCGGCTTTCTACTCGACGCCCCGATGCTTCCGCTCTTCGAGGGCAGCAGCATACGGCCGCAGCTGATGCTATATTCCTGTTGGGAATTATTTTTTGTTATTATGTATATAAAACCCAAGAGGATATTACAACTTCTATTTTTGTTAAGGTTCTAAGGGGAGTGTAGGATGCGGGCTGTGTCCATCACCTGGGCCGCACTGCTTTCAGCTGCCAGTGTCGTCGAGCTCCAACCGCTCTTGGCAGCGGTATCGCGCCAGCTGCAGCACTCCTCGCTGTGGGTCGCAGGGAATTTTCCAGCCCTGGAGGACACAAATAAGCACCGGCCCTTTGCGCAGACCGTGCTTCAGGAGTTGGGCCAAGGCCGAGGCATCTTGCCTGCATGTATCGTGGAGCTCCTTGCATGCTTTCTACTTCTGATCTTGAATCCTGCTTGAAACATGGACTTTAAATCCTAAACTCCTCAATCCCTACATGCAAATTACCAAAGACTATAAACTTGTCAACTCTCTACTGCCTGAACCTCCTCTTCCCTCGGAGCCCTTCAAAGGCTCCGCAGCTACCAGCTCGCCGTCGGCTCCGCCGGCCCAGAACCCGCCCCAGCTGACCCAAAGCCTGCCCGCCGCGGCATGGTCGCAGTGTGGGGAGATTCTTTTACTATTTGAAGAACCCCAAGAAAATAGAAAGAAAACAATCCCTGTATTGCCCTTGTAAGGAAGAACATAGTTTAATTTTTTTTTTTTTTGGGGGGGGGGGGGGGGGGGGGGGGGTTCTTAATTAGTCTTGGGGCATGGTGGCTTCCATGCCGGGCAATTGTCGGGCCTAGGGCGTTTCGGGCCATCTGCTTCAAACCCTGTTTACAAGCCCTATCGACCTCACTCCAGACTTGGGGTGGGTTTCGAGCATCCCCGAAGAGGCAGCCCCTTCGAAGATTCCCCTAAACTCCAGGTTCTGAAGAGGGGGTGCCTTGAGTCTGGGACTCGCCATTTGAACTGGTTGTGTGGTTGATGTCATGGATTGGGATGTCTCCCCTTAATAGGGAGTGCAGTACCCCCCCTAATATAATCGCTATTCAGGACTGTTAGTATACGGGGGAAATTCCCCAGTGATGGATGATTCCTGGTGGCAGACGCGGGTCTCACTGACACCTCGTCATTCTAGTTGCTTGTCACGACCGATATGTTGTGTTCTTTGACCTCGATTCGGATCTCTGGAGCCTTGCCTGTGCTTGCGCTAGTTGAAAGAGTTGAAACCCGAAACCCTAATCCCTCCGGGCGGCATAAAATCCCTCCGCCAAGGTGGAGTTCACGGGCTCCGAGTGGCAGAGGCCTGTCCGAGGAGGTGAGTTCGAGCCTTTGCTTTGCCTCTTGGCTCTCCGAGTTTAGGGTTGCATTCCGGGGGTTCAGGGTTTCTGGGGTTTGTAAGGCTTTCGGTTCAGGGTTTCTAGGGCCCCTAGTTTCTAGGGTATATAAGATTTAGGGTTTGTAAGGTTTAGGGTTTAGGGTTTAGGGTTTAGGGTTTAGGGTTTAGGGTTTAGGGTTTAGGGTTTAGGGTTTAGGGTTTAGGGTTTAGGGTTTAGGGTTCTCAGAGAGTCCTGGTAGAAGAACGGGTTGAGGCGGCTTCGCCACTTCCTGAGCCAGGCTGAGGGCTTACAAAGCATGACGCTTTTCGTTTGGGCTTCCATGCGCGACCTCCAAGCCCTTGAACTCAAAGTTCCTCTTTTGCGAGCCTAAAACACCCTTGCTAGTAGGGGTTTTAGGCGATAACAGTGACTTTAGAGTTGAAGGGCTTCTAAAGGCCCCCTCATAAACGCCTCCTAAACGGAAAGGGCCCGAACAGAACCCGAGCCCTTCGAACCGAGCGAGGCCTCGCGTACTGGCTGGCCAATGCGATCGACCGGGGCCTGGGCAGATCTCCACTCCTCACGGGCTGCGGCTGGGACTTTTTTTAGTTGGGGGTGGGGGGGGTTTAGGGTTCGAGGTTCAGGGTTCAGGGTTGGGGGACTATGGAGCTTGTGAGGCACCCAACTTGTGTCTGCATCAGCTCGGGAGCAGCGTCAGTCTGAAAACGCCGGCGTCAGTACATAAAACTCGTTCGGCCGAGTCAGAAAACGCAGATTGCTCAGTCGGCTCTGAAATCTGAAATCGGAAAGATTCAGAAAAAAAGACAAGCGCATTCCAGAAAGCAAAGGCCTCATCGGTACAACCTCTCGAAACCAGACATCTTCTGCAAATCCGATTTCAATTTTGTACCCTGGGGAAGCGATGTGCATTGTATGTATTCTGCATTTTGGCGGGTTCCGCGCTTTCGGCTGGGGTCTCGGTGTATGGTCCGCCTTGGCGCTTGGGCTGGTCACTGCTTCACCTTAGCGCCCTTCTTTGCTCTCTGCTCTGCACATGCGTGCGCGCGTGGCGGTGTGCGTGCGCGAGTTCGTGTGGCTCTGTCTGTGTGTGTGGGTGGCACCAGACGCGCGGGAGCCAGGGGTAAAACGAATCCAAAGCAACAACGAGGTCGTGCTTAACTTTGCAGTTCAAGGATCCCTCCCTGCACCGCCGTTCACCCAAATCGGACAGGGAGGCCATGGGGGGGAGGTTCCGGGGAGTGCTTCTGTGATGCACCATGATGCGCTTAAAAAGGGGGGGCCCTTTTCGTCCCCGGCTCGGGGCACATATTTGCCCTCTGGAGCGTTTTATTGCTGTCTAGATTCTAGAAAGTTCCCATAAGAAGAGTTCCCGAACCCCCATAGTTTTCAATGTATGTTGTTGACAGAGGGGGGCCCGTGGAAGGGGGGTAGGGCAACGACAGCGTGGGGTTCCCGGTCCACCCAGGCTTACTTTGCGTGTGTGGCGTTTGCATTGCGTGTTTTGTATGCGTGGGGGTTTGAGTGCCTGGGCGGAGGGAGCTCTAGTGTAGAGAATACAGCTAGTGATCCCCTAAACTCACGTCCGCCGGTTTAATTCTTTTTTGGGGTGGGGCCTGTTTTTTTCCGGGACACCACTCCCCCCACGCTCTCGAGGTCTGGGTTCACTTGGCGGCTGTTTGCTGCCCCTTTATAACTTGATAGTTTTTGTGAGTTTGCTGGCCTATGTGGTCAGCTGGCTCAGATCACACGACACCTGCAGAGATCCTTAAGAACAAGCATGCTGGCAAATTCTGACTACCTGAACTCTGAACTCTTCAGCTGCTCTGAAGAGGGTTCAAGGATTTGGGGGCCGAGGGTTCGAAGCCCTAAGCCCTAAACCATGGTAGCCTCAGGCCTCTAAACCCTAAGCCTCGGGTATCTCGGGGGTAGCTGTAGCCCAGTTCCAGTCCAACTGGATCTCGGGCAGCTCTTTCCATGACGCCACCATAGCCCGCACCGTAAGCTTCGCTCGCACCGTAAGCTTCGCCATGCGCTGGTTCACGCGCACTCTATCCACCCGCCATTTGATTAGCCGATCTCCAATCTCTCGCTCGTCCAGGCACGTTCCAGGTTTCAGTTCTCGCCCATGCGAATATTGGCCTTGCCCATAATTGCACCTGAATTTACAGCGTGAGGATGCCGATGATGCTGATGCTCGTGATGCTGATGCCCACGATGCTGAGGCTCATGTTGCTTGCGTCAATAAAAAAATCGGGCCCTTGTCGGCCCCTCCGCAGGGCACATATATAGCCCTGCAATACCGTGGGGTGCATTTTTGCCCCACGATGATTTGATTCTTCTAGGTCTAGATATTGCCTCTGCATATTTTTCCCGAGCCCAAACCCCCGGTTAAGTTTTATGTATCGTTTTGAGAAGGGGGGCCCGTGGAAGGGTGTCGGGTCCCTATAGGGGCTCACACCTGGGCCTGGGGTTCCCTCTAGCCCGGCCAGCATGTATCATGTTGTACGTGTGTTTTGCCATCTCACGATGTAACTTCATCCAGAGTCCTCATTCATCTAGTTCGGCCTGGGCAGGGGGGGCTCTACGGTAACTAGATATAAAAAATTTGTCCTGTCAACTCAATGCCGTAATTCGTAAAATGTTGTTTTGACAAAAACGGGTGAGCCCGGTCTGGTCAGGCCCTGGGCCACCCCCCGGCAAGCGGCACCGGGAGACCAAAACGCGCACGAGGTCTTTAATAACGTTAACTAGTCGGCATTGAAAGGACACCCTAATCCCCAAATACCCTAAGTAGAACTTGAAAGTGTTCTGATGCTCATTTGCCCGAGCAATCTTGATCCGATGGATCTCCCTGCTGAGCATTCTTCATCCGATTGAATTCCCTGCTGAGCAATCTGGATCCGATGGATTTCTTGAGCTTGCCCCGCCCTGCACGAAAAGCGAGAGCGGGCGGGATGGGCACGGCCCAACTGCAGTACGGACTGTGTGCTTTTGCTTGCTGCCGTTAGACCAAACAGTATGCACTCTGGGCCTTTGCTTCCCGTTGCTTTTCGGCCTTTGCTTTTCGCCATCAACCAAGAGCATCTTCCGCTGTAGCACGGACTCTGGGCCTTTGCTTCCCGCCGTCACCCAAGAGAGTCCTCAGCCTGGGCCTTTGCTTCCCGCCGTCAACCACCAACATCTGCAGTCTTCAGCTGTAGCACGGACTCTGGGCCTTTGCTTCCCGCCTTCTCCCAAGCAAGTCCTCAGCTGCAGTACGGACTCTGGGCCTTTGCTTCCCGTCGTCACCCAAGAGAGTCCTCAGCCTGGGCCTTTGCTTCCCGCCGTCAACCACCAACATCTGCAGTCTTCAGCTGTAGCACGGACTCTGGGCCTTCGCTTTTCGCCATCAACCAACAGCATCTGCCGTTGTGGCACGGACTCTGGGCCTTTGCTTCCCGCCTTCTCCCAAGCAAGTCCTCAGCTGCAGTACGGACTCTGGGCCTTTGCTTTTCGCCATCAACCAACAGCATCTTCCGCTGTAGCACGGACTCTGGGCCTTTGCTTCCCGCCGTCACCCAACTAAACCCTAAACCCTAAATCCTAAACCCTAAACCCTAAACCCCTTTTGGGGCTTAGGGCTTCAGCGGTCTTCTTTGGCTTGGGGTTTGGGTCTTAAGCACGTGGACTTGAGGGCTTTCAGGGCTTCCCGGGTGTCGTGTTGAGGGTTTATAGGGTTTAGGGTCTGGGGTTTAGAGGTTTAGGGGCGTTCGTCAGTTGCTGGTTTCAGGAGGCCGGTGCTCTGCCTTGATACACGGGATTGCGCCTGTGGAGGTGATACGAATGTAGGGCTCCGGAGCATTCTTGGGGCGTAGAATGTATGAAGTGGACTGTTGCTTGAACTAGCGGCAAGTTCAGGTTCAGGAGGGCGTCGGCTTGCTGAATCTTGCTCAGCAACCCCCCCCCAAACCCTAAACCCTAAACCCTGACGGTACAGGTGGGCCCGTGCCACAGACAGAGTGGCCCCGGATGTTTGCCAACTGGAAGCTGACGCTCTTCGCGCCTTGGGGGCGCTCTTCGATTTTTTGGGGGGTTTGCGGGGGCACTAAAAAACCCTAAGCCCTAAGCCCTAAACCCTAAACCCTAAACCCTAAACCTAAATGTGCACGTCCCCTGTGACCGCCCCTGAGAGAGGCCAGTTTGAAAACGGGTTGGGGCAGGGGTGGTGGTTGGTCATTGTCGAAAGCTTATATTTTCTTGCGGCACTTCTTCTCACGTATGGCTTCATCGATGCTGTTTCACTGCTTCACTGTTTCCTAGAATCGAAGCAAGCGTCTGTTCTTCAGAGTTTTTGCAAGTCTTCGCATAGGGTTCCAATCCATTCCTCGAAGGCATGAAACTTCTGTGACACATCGCAGAAGTGACGGATTTTGAATTGTTGGGCCCTTGAAGCCCGAGGTGAACCTCCTCCTCTTTCTGGCGGTTTGGTTGTGAGCGAGGCATGTGTATGTAGAGCTCGATGGAAGGCTCGGATGCTCCGGGAGCTGCTCGGAAAGGAATGAGGGCGCGTTCGGTTTTTGGGAGGGGGATTGCGCGGTGCACTGTGGTCCTGCTTCATGCCGAGAGGTGTGTTCAATGGCCAGTAATCATGAACCAGTACCAGCAGATACACTGAAATTGGCGCATCACGCAAGGCACGTCCGTCATGTGCATCTTCGACCCCCGCCAATGGAGACTCCCAACGATCCCGAGGTGGCCCAGCGCCAGCCTTATCCCGAAAGCATGGTCCCTGAAACCCAGCCGACCCATAGTACCCCAAAAGGCCCCGAAACATATTGTGTTTAGGGTTTGGCGTCAGGCGTAGATACTCGTATAGGGTATGAGTGCCCTGGCGATGGTTACAACGGTTGTCGCCAACTTTTAGTCCCAGCTAGAACTACCCATGAACCCCCTTGGCCCTGACACACGCACATCACCCCTGGGCAGGCTTCACCGGACCGCAGTGAGAGCGCCGGTAGCTCGAAAGGGTTTAGTTTCCCATAGGTTGCAACATTGTTACCCTTATGGGTGGGGTTCATTCATAATATAAGGCTTTCAGCACCGCATAGGAATAAAGATTACGGAGGGGATCTTTGAATAAAGGTTTTGAACATCCATAGTCGGGCGTCGGGCTGGGGAGCTCTTTTCTGTGTGGGCGTGTGTGTGCCTGACTTTCCCTTCATGCGCAAGAGTCTGCACTGACGTGGATTGAGGGAAAAGTTGGTTTCTGCCAAAGAATGGCTGCAGTCTTGATGGGCCTGGTTTGTTTGGGCTTTCGTGCCCGACAACTCAGAACCCGCCCCAAGAGCAAGAGGTGCATCGGTGCCATTGTGCGGTGTTTTCCAAGACAGTGCAGTACAGAGCGACGAAGAGAGCAACAGAAAGAGAGAGAGAGAGGCCTCTTCGCTGGGTAGAAGAAGAGAGAGAGAGAGAGAGAGAGGGAGGGAGGGAGGGAGGGAGGGAGGGAGGGAGGGAGGGAGAGAGCCCGTAGGCCCGGTAGAAGAAGAAGAAGGAAGAGCTCTCTATTAACCACGCAGAAGTGGAAGCAGAAGAGCCAGAGAGAGAGAGAGAGAGAAAGAACCCGCGGTGGTCAACCATGCCGGGAGCAAGGAAGGCAGAGAGACAGAGAGAAAGGACCCGCAACCAAATTGATATTTATACAAGGCAAGAAAGACATAGACGAGAGAAAGAGAGTTGCAGTTAGACAGGCAGCTCCGCATGACGGAGCTCTCTTGGCTTCATGCGTTCTGTTCGCCACTCCCACGTCTCCAGGCACCAGTCATTGCTTGAGGACCTGCAGAACGTGTTGTGTCCTGAGCCCCAGAGCCGAAAAGCAACTCCACATCTCATGAAACTTGGCTGGTGGCAAGCGCCGCGCAAGCATGGCTCTCAGATTGCATTGCCGAAGTTACGAAAACACTCTAGACCTCAATGAGTTCTTGCTATCATCACCTTCATGGCAAGGAAACGGTGATGTGCAACATGGTTTGCATGGCATGTTGTTGGCATCTGCGAGTTTTGTGTATTTCGGGCATGCTGCACATCAATTGAACACCCAAGCCTAAGCCTCTGTAGCCGCTCATGGCATGGACAGCGAGAGCTACATACGCTTTCCTCTTCCAAGCTTGGCTCGCAATCTGCACGCAGCAGCCAGAAGAACCTTGCGTGGTGTATGTCTTGGATGACCCCGAAGTGGGTTATGTTTCCTGGCAGATGCGATCTGTCCTACGTAGTTTTTCTGTCCTTAACGTCACGGCCAGGGAGCTGGATGCAGCAGTTCTGAATGGTGAGACAGCTGCGGCGCAAATTGTTTTCCCCGACCCGAGAACCTCTTTGCTTGACATGTATAGTGTCGAGGCCTGGGAAACCGTAGCGCGCATGTCACAGACAGGAGTGCACTTGATTGTTCATGGCAGCCTTGACATCATTGAGAGTCTGACGGGCTGGTCTCTCGATTCTTTTCTATCTTGTTCTTCGTCTCGACCTCGTCATGTATCTCTTCAGCTGCACGGAGGGGCCTTCGAGCACAGCCCCTTTTGGTATTTCAGCAGCCCCGACGCTTGTGTTACGAGAATGGCCTCACTGCCGGCCACGGCGGATGGTGTTTACGGTGATGCCACCGGGGCCTCTTCTTGGACGTCTCCCTGGGGCAATGGTCGTGTCACCTTCATACAGGAAGAGAACAAGGATCTCGGCATTGCCGGATCTCTCCTGTTGCGTAGCGCAGTCGGCGCTTCCTGTGCGAGGTTGCCTCCTGTTGTGAGTTGCCCTGTGTACACCTTGCACGATCTTGGCACGTCCACTCTCACCGAGCTTTCTTGTCTCCAGTTGCTTGCCGAGCGCGTTGTGTCCTGGAATTCTCCCGCTGAGATGGAGCACGCCCTGTTCAGCGGCGAGGTGCGTGGAGTTCAGTTCGTTGTCCCTTCACGGGGGAGTAGCTCATGGCTGCACTGGTTCAGTGCGAGAGCGGAGATCGCCAATCTCATTGCCGAAGGAGGTTTGCACCTCATAGTGCATGAGGACATTGAGCTCATCAATGTCCTGACCAGTTGGTCCTTGTCGGCTTATTCGTCTTGCTATGTAGCTACAGTTTCTCCCAGTTTGCAGGGCGGAGGCTTTGAGCAGGGCCCGCCGTACTTGTACGTTGAGGGGGGGCGGCGGCGGTGCGTCACGCTAGCTCGCATGTCTTCGTTGCCGGCTGCTGTCGATGGCCTGTACGGTGATTCTCAGCGTGCCTGGGCATGGACTGCTCCTTGGGGCTCGGGCCGCATCACCTTCTTGGGACCCGCGCTCGGGCGCCACGCAAGTATCACGCTGCTCCTGCAGAGCTCTCTCGCCGCGGGCTGCCGCGATGATGGGGCTGCTACACAGCCACTGTCCGTCCATGGAGCATCTCAATGTCGAGCGCGGTTGATGGATGAGCCTGCCGAGAGTAGCAGTAGGCGTGACATGAGCCTGGCCGTGCCTTATGCCACAGTTCTGGACACGGCGCATGAGATCTCGAGAGTGATGATGTCCGGCAACGAGACGCTGCTGATGGTCACGCAGCACCAAGCTACCGGCTCAGTACTGGACAGCCTTCGACTCCGGGAACTGGAGAAGTTTGTTTATGTGACTGGAGGGCATCTGGTTTCCGTGTCTGTCCAAACCATCAACGCACTGACCAACTGGTCGTTGACAGTCTACTCACATTGGCACCACAGTTCAGATCGATACGTGCCACCTCAGCTGCAGGGGGGAGGCTTTGAGTGGGGCCCAAGGTACCTGTACCTACCTGATGATTCTTTTTCTGAACCTTTTTCCGTGACTGAGACGGCTTCATTGCCAGCAAGCGTGGACGGGATTTACGGTGGTGCCGCCAGGGTATATGCTTGGACGTCTCCCTGGGGCAACGGCCGCATCACGTTCATATCCGAGCATCTCGGCGTTGCCGGGACTCTCCTGTTGCGCGGTGTAGTTGGCGATTCATGCGCGAGGATGCCTGTCGTGAGTTGCCCTGTGTACACCTTGCACGATCTTGGCACGTCCACTCTCACCGAGCTTTCTTGTCTCCAGTTGCTTGCTGAGCGCGTTGTGTCCTGGAATTCTCCCGCTGAGATGGAGCACGCCCTGTTCAGCGGCGAGGTGCGTGGAGTTCAGTTCGTTGTTCCTTCACGGGGGAGTAGCTCATGGCTGGACTGGTTCAGTGCGAGGGCGGAGATCGCCAATCTCATTGCCGAAGGAGGTTTGCACCTCATAGTGCATGAGGACATTGAGCTCATCAATGTCCTGACCAACTGGTCCTTGTCGGCTTATTCGTCTTGCTACTACAATGTAGCTACAGTTTCTCCCAGTTTGCAGGGCGGAGGGTTTGAGCAGGGCCCGCCGTACTTGTATGTTGGGGAGGGGTCGGGGTGCTTCACGCTAGCTCGCATGTCTTCGTTGCCGGCTGCTGTCGATGGCCTGTACGGTGATTCTCAGCGTGCCTGGGCATGGACTGCTCCTTGGGGCTCGGGCCGCATCACCTTCTTGGGACCTGCGCTCGGGCGCCATGCAAGTCTCGCACTGCTCCTGCAGAGCTCTCTCGCCGCAGGCTGCCGCGATGGTGGGGCTGCTACACTGTCCTTCCACGGTGCATCTCAATGTCGAGCGTGGTTGGTTGATGATGAACCATCATGGTCATCATCATTGCGCCAATGGCGCGCAGAGACAAGCACCACGCTTGACATGAGCTTGGCCACAGTTCTGGACACGGAGCATGAGATCTCGAGAGTGATGATGTCCGGCAACGAGACTCTGCTGATGGGCACGCTGCGCCAAGACACGGGGCAATTGGGCAGCTTTCGACGTCAGGAACTCGAGAAGTTTGTTTACGTGACTGGAGGACATCTGATTTCCGTGTCTCTCCAGACCATCAACGCACTGACGAATTGGTCGTTGACAGCCTACTCAAGTTGGCACTCCAGTTCAGATGACTACATCCGCTACATGCCACCTCAGCTGCAGGGGGGAGGCTTTGAGCGTGGCCCAAGGTACCTGTACCTGCGACGTGATGATGGCCGTTTTCGGGTGACTGATCAGGCTTCCCTGCCAGCGAGTGTGGACGGGATGTACGGCGATGCCATTCGTGCCCATGCTTGGACGTCTCCCTGGGGCAATGGCCGCATCACGTTCATAGGCGAGGATCTCGGCATTGCCGGTGCTCTCCTGTTGCGCGGTGTAGTCGGCGATTCATGCCCCAGGTTACCTGTTGTGAGTTGCCCCGTGTACACCTTGCATGATCTGAACGTGTACACTCTAACCGAGCTTTCTTATCTCCAGTTGCTTGCTGAGCGCGTTGTGTCCTGGAATTCTCCCGCTGAGATGGAGCACGCCCTGTTCAGCGGCGAGGTGCGTGGAGTTCAGTTCGTTGTCCCTTCAAGGCAGGGTAGCTCATGGCTGCACTGGTTCAGTTCGAGGGCGGAGGTCGCCAATCTCATTGCCGAAGGAGGTCTTCACCTCATAGTGCATGAGGACATTGAGCTCATCAATGTCCTGACCAACTGGTCCTTGTCGGCTTATTCGTCTTGCTACGACAATGTAGCTACAGTTTCTCCCAGTTTGCAGGGTGGAGGCTTTGAGCAGGGCCCGCCGTACTTGTATGTTGAGGGGGGGCGGCGGCGGTGCTTCACGCGAGCTGGCATGTCTTCGTTACCGGCTTCTGTCGATGGCCTGTACAATAATTCTCACAGTGCCTGGGCGTGGACTGCTCCTTGGGGCTCGGGCCGCATCACCTTCTTGGGACCTCCGCTCGGGCGCCACCCGAGTCTCGCGCTGCTCCTGCAGAGCTCTCTCGCCGCAGGCTGCCGCGATGGTGGGGCTGCTACACAGCCACTGTCCTTCCATGTGGCATCTCAATGTCGAGCATGGTTGATTTATGAACCATTCTGGTCCCTCGAATGGAGCTGGAGTGCCAGAACAAGCACCACGCTTGACATGAGCTTGGCCACAGTTCTGGACACGGAGCATGAGATCTCGAGAGTGATGATGTCCGGCAACGAGACTCTGCTGATGGGCACGCTGCGCCAAGATACGGGGCCATTGGGCAGCCTTCGACGTCAGGAACTGGAGAAGTTTGTTTATGTGACTGGAGGACATCTGATTTCCGTGTCTCTCCAGACCATCAACGCGCTGACGAACTGGTCGTTGACAGCCTACTCAAGTTGGCACTCCAGTTCAGATCACTACTACTACTACATGCCACCTCAGCTGCAGGGGGGAGGCTTTGAGCGTGGCCCAAAGTACCTGCACCTGCCTCATTCTGGCCGTTTTTATGTGACTCTGACTGAGACAGCGTCACTGCCAGCGAGTGTGGACGGGATGTACGGCGATGCCATTCGTGCCCATGCTTGGACGTCTCCCTGGGGCAATGGCCGCATCACGTTCATAGCCGAGATAGGCAGCGATCTCCGCGTTGCCGGTGCTCTCCTGTTGCGCGGTGTAGTCGGCGATTCATGCCCCAGGTTACCTGTTGTGAGTTGCCCCGTGTACACCTTGCATGATCTGGGCGTGTCCACTCTAACCGAGCTTTCGTATCTCCAGTTGCTTGCTGAGCGCGTTGTGTCCTGGAATTCTCCCGCTGAGATGGAGCACGCCCTGTTCAGCGGCGAGGTGCGTGGAGTTCAGTTCGTTGTCCCTTCACGGGGGAGTAGCTCGTGGCTGGACTGGTTCAGTGCGAGGGCGGAGATCGCCAATCTCATTGCCGAAGGAGGTCTTCACCTCATAGTGCATGAGGACATTGAGCTCATCAATGTCCTGACCAATTGGTCCTTGACGGTCATACATGCGAGCCATGCCAATTCTAACAGAGTTTTGCATGGCGGAGGCTTTGAGCAGGGCCCACAGTACTTGTCCAACGGATTCGCCACCCGAGTTGACACGTCGTCGTTGCCAACTGCTGTCGATGGACTGTACGGTGTTTCTCAGGGTGATTCTCGGTATGCCTCGGCATGGACTGCTCCTTGGGGCTCGGGCCGCATCACCTTCCTGGGACCTGCACTTAGGCGCCATGCAAGTATCACGCTGCTCCTGCAAAGCTCTCTCGCCGCGGGCTGCCGCGATGATGGGGCTGCTACACAGCCACTGTCCGTCCATGGAGCGTCTCAATGTCGAGCGCGGTTGATGGATGAACCTTCATGGTCCCAAGCCGAGAGTAGCAGCCCTGTGCTTGACATGAGCCTGGCCGTGCCTTATGCCACAGTTCTGGACACGGCGCATGAGATCTCGAGAGTGATGATGTCTAGCAACGAGATTCTGCTGATGGGCACGCTGCGCCAAGTTGCGGGCCAATTGGAGAGCCTTCGACTTCAGGAATTGGAGAAGTTTGTTTACGTGACTGGAGGGCATTTGGTTTCCATCTCTGAGCAGGCCATCAACGCACTGACCAACTGGTCGTTAACGACCTCAACACACCGTGTCTGGCGTTCAGGTCGATACGTGCCACCTCAGCTGCAGGGGGGAGGCTTTGAGTGGGGCCCAAGGTACCTGTACCTACCTGATGATTCTGAACGTTTTTCCGTGACTGAGACGGCTTCACTGCCAGCAAGCGTGGACGGGATGTACGGGGATGCCGATTCTGCCCATGCTTGGACGTCTCCCTGGGGTAATGGCCGCATCACGTTCATATCCGAGCATCTCGGCATTGCCGGGTCTCTCCTGTTGCGCGGTGTAGTCGGCGATTCATGCGCGAGGATGCCTGTTGTGAGTTGCCCTGTGTACACCTTGCATGATCTTGGCACGCCCGCTCTCACCGAGCCTTCTTATCTCCAGTTGCTTGCTGAGCGCGTTGTGTCCTGGAATTCTCCCGCTGAGATGGAGCACGCCCTGTTCAGCGGCGAGGTGCGTGGAGTTCAGTTCGTTGTCCTTTCACGGGGGAGTAGCTCATGGCTGCACTGGTTCAGTGCGAGGGCGGAGGTCGCCAATCTCATTGCCGAAGGAGGTCTTCACCTCATAGTGCATGAGGACATTGAGCTCATCAATGTCCTGACCAGTTGGTCCTTGTCGGCTTATTCGTCTTGCTACTACAATGTAAATGTAGCTACAGTTTCTCCCAGTTTGCAGGGCGGAGGCTTTGAGCAGGGCCCGCCGTACTTGTACGTTGAGGGGGGGCGGCGGCGGTGCGTCACGCTAGCTCGCATGTCTTCGTTGCCGGCTGCTGTCGATGGCCTGTACGGTGATTCTCAGCGTGCCTGGGCATGGACTGCTCCTTGGGGCTCGGGCCGCATCACCTTCTTGGGACCTGCGCTCGGGCGCCATGCAAGTCTCGCGCTGCTCCTGCAGAGCTCTCTCGCCGCAGGCTGCCGCGATGATGGGGCTGCTACACAGCCACTGTCCGTCCATGGAGCGTCTCAATGTCGAGCGCGGTTGATGGATGAACCTTCATGGTCCCAAGCCGAGAGTAGCCGCCCTGTGCTTGACATGAGCCTGGCCGTGCCTTATGCCACAGTTCTGGACACGGAGCACGAGATCTTGAGAGTGATGATGTCCGGCAACGAGACTCTGCTGATGGGCACGCTGCGCCAAGATACGGGGCAACTGGGCAGCCTTCGACGTCAGGAACTGGAGAAGTTTGTTTATGTGACTGGAGGGCATCTGGTTTCCGTGTCTGTCCAAACCATCAACGCACTGACCAATTGGTCGTTAACGACCTCAACACACCGTGTCTGGCGTTCAGGTCGATACGTGCCACCTCAGCTGCAGGGGGGAGGCTTTGAGTGGGGCCCAAGGTACCTGTACCTACCTGATGATTCTGAACCTTTTTCCGTGACTGAGACGGCTTCACTGCCAGCAGGCGTGGACGGGATGTACGGGGATGCCGATTCTGCCCATGCTTGGACGTCTCCCTGGGGTAATGGCCGCATCACGTTCATATCCGAGCATCCCGGCGTTGCCGGGACTCTCCTGTTGCGCGGTGTAGTCGGCGATTCATGCGCGAGGATGCCTGTTGTGAGTTGCCCTGTGTACACCTTGCACGATCTTGGCACGCCCACTCTCACCGAGCTTTCTTGTCTCCAGTTGCTTGCTGAACGCGTTGTGTCCTGGAATTCTCCCGCTGAGATGGAGCACGCCCTGTTCAGCGGCGAGGTGCGTGGAGTTCAGGTCGTTGTCCCTTCACGGGGGAGTAGCTCATGGCTGCACTGGTTCAGTGCGAGGGCGGAGATCGCCAATCTCATTGCCGAAGGAGGTCTTCACCTCATAGTGCATGAGGACATTGAGCTCATCAATGTCCTGACCAATTGGTCCTTGACGACTCAGAGGTCTTGCTACCATGAAGCCTCAGTTTCTCCCAGTTTGCAGGGTGGAGGCTTTGAGCAGGGCCCGCCGTACTTGTACGTTGAGGGGGGGCGGCGGCGGTGCGTCATGCTAGCTCGCAGGTCTTCGTTGCCGGCTGCTGTCGATGGCCTGTACGTTGATTCTCGGTATGCCTCGGCATGGACTGCTCCTTGGGGCTCGGGCCGCATCACCTTCTTGGGACCTGCGCTTAGGCGCCATGCAAGTATCACGCTGCTCCTGCAAAGCTCTCTCGCCGCGGGCTGCCGCGATGATGGGGCTGCTACACAGCCACTGTCCGTCCATGGAGCGTCTCAATGTCGAGCGCGGTTGATGGATGAACCTTCATGGTCCCAAGCCGAGAGTAGCCGCCCTATGCTTGACATGAGCCTGGCCGTGCCTTATGCCACAGTTCTGGACACGGAGCATGAGATCTCGACAGTGATGATGTCTAGCAACGAGACTCTGCTGATGGGCACGCTGCGCCAAGATACGGGGCAACTGGGCAGCCTTCGACGTCAGGAACTGGAGAAGTTTGTTTATGTGACTGGAGGGCATCTGGTTTCCGTGTCTGTCCAAACCATCAACGCACTGACCAACTGGTCGTTAACGACCTCAACACACCGTGTCTGGCGTTCAGGTCGATACGTGCCACCTCAGCTGCAGGGGGGAGGCTTTGAGTGGGGCCCAAGGTACCTGTACCTACCTGATGATTCTGAACGTTTTTCCGTGACTGAGACGGCTTCACTGCCAGCAAGCGTGGACGGGATGTACGGGGATGCCGATTCTGCCCATGCTTGGACGTCTCCCTGGGGCAATGGCCGCATCACGTTCATATCCGAGCATCTCGGCATTGCCGGGTCTCTCCTGTTGCGCGGTGTAGTCGGCGATTCATGCGCGAGGATGCCTGTCGTGAGTTGCCCTGTGTACACCTTGCACGATCTTGGCACGTCCACTCTCACCGAGCCTTCTTATCTCCAGTTGCTTGCTGAGCGCGTTGTGTCCTGGAATTCTCCCGCTGAGATGGAGCACGCCCTGTTCAGCGGCGAGGTGCGTGGAGTTCAGTTCGTTGTTCCTTCACGGGGGAGTAGCTCATGGCTGGACTGGTTCAGTGCGAGGGCGGAGATCGCCAATCTCATTGCCGAAGGAGGTTTGCACCTCATAGTGCATGAGGACATTGAGCTCATCAATGTCCTGACCAATTGGTCCTTGACGACTCAGAGGTTGTGCTACCATGAAGCCACAGCTTTTCCCAGTTTGCAGGGCGGAGGCTTTGAGCAGGGTCCGCAGTACTTGTATGTTGAGTGGTGGTGTTTCACACTAGCTCGCATGTCTTCGTTGCCAGCTGCTGTCGATGGCCTGTACGGTGATGCTCAGAGTGCCTGGGCGTGGACTGCTCCTTGGGGCTCGGGCCGCATCACCTTCTTGGGACCTGCGCCCGGGCGCCACGCAAGTCTCGCGCTGCTCCTGCAGAGCTCTCTCGCCGCAGGCTGCGGCAGTTTCGACAACATTTCGAGCACGCTGCCATTTGTGATTCCGCCATGGTCCACAGTTCTTGTTCTGAGTGCTCGATTTCACATCGGCGACCGTGTGCATGAGCATGTTGCGCAGATTCCGCAGCGGAAGTTTATCGAAGACATGCAATTTGCGGAAACTGAGTTTGAGATTTCTCGCTTGGTTTTGCAAAGACATGATCTCATGTCACGTGGGCCAAGTGTCATGATTGTGCAGGACATCTTTGGAAATCAGGTCCGGCATCTGGCTGACCTACTTGCCGAAGTTGTTCACCAGCAAGGGTCTCATCTGATTGCTCGTGATGGCTCGATCATCCAGGCATTGAGCAACTGGTCTGTGACATCGGGTGGTTCTTGCCATGTTGTCACTGACCCATACTTGCTGCCCCGTGAGCTCTCAGGTGGTTTCCTGCAAGGCCCAAGGATCTTGTACTTTGCCAATGGTGAAAACTGCCTGGCAGGGGGACGCAGGGATTCTTTGCCCACAGGTGTTGATGGTCTCTATGGCAACGCCACTCATGCGTATGCTTGGACTGCGCCTTGGGGCGCAGGCCGGATTACCTTCATTGGAGCTGGATTAGTTGGTTCTCTTCCGATGGGCTTCTCGCAGTTGCTGCGAAGTGCGCTTGGAAGCCATGCTGCAGATGTTTTCCCCGCAGTAGGGTGCCCGGTGCATGTTTTCAATAAGAACAGGAACCGTGGATTCCTTGCACAGCTCCAGCTGGTTGCCGAGCATGTTGTGACTTGGGACACACTCTCGCAGCTAGAGTTCGCGCTTCTCGATAAAGGCCACGACCTTCAGGGTGTGCAAGTCGTCGTCCCTTCAGAGGAAGGAAGGCCCCTGCTCGAAAGGCCCAGCATGCAGTCCGGGGAGTTTGCCAAGCTTATATCTCACGGAGGGCTCCATGTGATCGTGCATGAGAGTTTCGATTGGGACGGAATCGAGCTTATCAACGTCCTGACCAACTGGTCCCTGACGAGCCGGCATTATTGTCATTCCCTTTCTTCTGGCCATAGGCCTATTTATCCACGCTGGCTTCCGAACTTGCAGGGCGGAGGCTTCGAGCATGGTCCAAACCACGTGTACATCGACACTCAAAGCGCTGGCCATCTCGTTTGTACGTTTGCTGCTTCCCTGCCGCCCAGTGTTGATGGTGCGTATGGTGTGGATGGTTATGGCGCTTATGATTATTCCAATAATGCTTGGATGGCTACTGGCAGCGCTTGGACGGCTCCATGGGGCGCAGGCCGCATCACTTTTGTGGGATCTTCTCTTGACCCCGCTCTCCTTGGATTGGACTCATTGTTGCAGAGCTCACTCGCCGCAGGCTGTGCAAATGCAAGCAACGCCTCTCACGAACTAGCAGTTGCTGCAGCGTCTTCATGTCCTGTGCATGTTCTGGGCCAGGGGCTTCGTGGATTTCGTGGTCAAGCTGGCGGGGACATCCAGCGCAAATTCGTAGGCGTGGACAATGAGCTTGAAATGATGAAACTGGTCACTGGCGCACAAAGCGAGCATCGTGTTGTGATTGCTGGGCGATATCCTAGTGTTGTTGGCGCCTTCCCTCTTTCTACAGTCAGTGACCAGCTTGGCCACCTTGTGCACCAAACAGGCGCGCACCTAGTTGTTCTTGATGATGCTGACCTTGTGGCTTCTTTGACCAACTGGTCCTTGAGAACCTGGCTGGAGTGCAGCCATTCGATTGCGCATGCGCTGAACGATACTGCAACCGTGCACCTAAATTTGGGTGAACTCGGTTGTTCCCAAGTGACCTCGGTTGCATCATTGCCGGCGAGTGTTGATGGTGCCCGCGGGAATGATGCGCTTGCTGTTGCTTGGACCAGCCCCTGGGGCAATGGCCGTATTAGTTTTGCTGGAAGCGTGTCTTACACAACTCCCGTCGGCTTCCCGATGCTCCTGCAGAGTGTGCTTGGCACCGCATGTGAGAGCATGGGCATGGTCTCCTGCCCTGTCTACGTGCTGAACGATCCGAACATGGTGCAGTCTACTGCGAGCGCAGTTCTGCTTGGCCAGGGCCAACTCCTGTCTGACCATCTGGTACCATGGAACACCTCCTCGGAGATGGAAGAGGCTTTGTTTGGTAGCGTTGTGCTTGATTCCCGTTTTCAAATCATTTTTCCATCACAGGCGGGTGATGGCTTGCTGCAGTGGTTCCAAGCCAGATCCTCAGAGATTCGACAGCGAATAACCCAAGGAGGGCTTCATGTGATCGTGCATGATGTCGATCTCATCAACCGATTGGGGCAGATGTCCTTAACTGCCCAAAGCATTTGCGTTCATAGCTCAGATTGGGTTCCGGGATTTACAGAGGAGCGGCTGTATTTGGGAAATGCTGGCTGTGTCGTGGCTACTTCGGTGAGATCTATGGACTCATTGTTCGCCGAACCTTCTATTTATGGTTTTTCGTCTTATGGTCACCAGTTTTCCGACTCCGCATATGTCTGGACTGCTCCTTGGGGTGCGGGTCGCCTCACTTTCATGGGAACTCAGGAGAACCTGTGGCAGCCTGACTTGGCCTGGTTGCTGGAAAGATCAGACGTCAACGCGAGTTGCAACGAAACGCCAGGGGAAGCTACAGTGCCGGCAACATCTGCGCCGCCATCCACAACCATGACAACATCAGAAGAACCAGAACTCGAGTTGACAACCACGAGAGGCACCAACACCCCTGCAACACATACGCTTACAACATCAGAAGTCGAATTGACAACAACCACAAGGGGCACCAACACAATCACCACCACCTTGGCAACGCATACACTTACAACATCTGGGCTGCAAGGGCTGACAACCAGCTCTGGAACAAAGACGCTGACTATTGCAACATCAAGCACTGCCACGGGAACTTCTACTGTCACATTGACGTCCACCACGACAGCCACCCCTTTCTATATCTCTTGTGGGAGCGTTGTATCCAGCTCCACGATCGGGCGGACGAGCCTCGTTGGTTTCTCATCTGGCGATGCTCATCACAAAGTTTGTCTTCCCGAGGACGTTCACTCTTTGAGCCGTCAGGTTATTTTGAGCACATGTGGCTCAGCTTTTGACACCTATCTGCGTGTGCTTGACGAGGATGGAGCAACCAGAGGTGGTTGTGATGATTGTGGCCCATGTGGGCAGCAAGCCGCCCTAAAGATTGATCTGTCCCCTGGTGCATGCTACAATGTTGTCGTTGAGGGCTATGGCCACTTTGAAGGCGAATATCAACTTGAGGTGTCCTGCTGCCCTGCAGATTCGTGTGGTGGGCGTGGTCGGGCCATTCATGAGTCCTGGGACTCAACGGGCAACCGCTGCAGCTGCCTGTGCCATTGGCCTTTTGCGGGCGAGACCTGCAACACATGCCGTAGCGGCATGCTGGCGGTCGTCATGGATGGCTCTTGCAAGCCTTGCTTCAGGTTCAATCGTCTTGACCGCGTGGCCCTCACTGGCACAGTGGTGGCGTGGTCACCAGGTTACGTCTACCCGTCCTGCACGTCTGCTATTCACTTGTCCTTCTTTGCTCCTGAGGACCTACAAGAGCAGGTCGAAGAACGTGAGGGCGGCGACTTTGATGTATCCATGGGCTACTGCAATCATTCTCACACCTGGCCGGGGCTGCAAGTGACAGCAAATGGGCTTCCTGTGGGTTCCATCTCTTGTGCTCCACAGTTCCAGTGTCCGGGCACGGCTGTGCAGAGCCCAGGCCCAGAGACTGCAGGGGTTCTTGTGGTTCTACGGTTGTTGGATGGCTTTCCGCACACCAGTGCTGTCTCCTTATCGCTTCTGGCACTTCTGGCCTCCATCTTCGACTCTTCCATCTCGGAAGTCCTTATACGCACGTCCAGCCGTAGTCTCCAAGTCGCCATGACCAGGGCGATGCTGCCAGCAATGCAGGACTTCCTCAACCAAGAGCTCGAGTCGCAAACCCTAATCCGGTGCGATGCAGGTGAGGACGTGCAGCACTTCGCGACTGCAACTTTAGAGCTAGTGGTTCTTGTGGGCCAGCTCTGCGGGAGCACCGAGGCCGTTCTTCAGTCGCTTGTGCCTCTCACACAGCTAGCGCGCCCTATTCGCATCCTCCACATAGGTGAAGCAACTGCTCCGGCACCGGGGTTTCTGACATCCGTCTCTTCTTTTGGTCGGCGAACTTCGGCTTCTGGCACACGCGAGGCCATTTGCCAGCACTTGGGCATATGGCTTCACGACCGAAGACAAGGGCCCGGTGCTGGCTGCAACGGACCTCTGTCCTTCAGCCCATCCCAAGTGTCCGCATTTCAACGAGACCGGCTGACCTTCCAAGGCGTTTGCAAGATCAGGTCTTGCTGTATCGGAAGCAAGTGTTCCAACTTTGTTCATGTGGACAGCAGTACGGTGTCGTGCCGCGTTCCTTTGCTGGAAGCAGGGCGGTACAGGGTCAGCGTGGTTTCCTTTGATGGCGAGAGCCACACATCGGACACAGAGCTTGTGGTGACAGTTCCCGGAACCGATCTGCATGTGGCGCGCCCTGTGCGAAGCAGCTCAGTTTTGCATGGTGTGTTTCCAGATGTCTCCATGAGTTTCGAATACAGGCACTTGGCGCTGCCACACTCTGCCACAGAGCATTGTTGTGACCTGGTCGCACTGGATGCTGACCTTCGTGTCATGGGGCGTATAGGGCCTCGGAGGTGCAATGACGATCAGGCGAGCATCCCTCAGGCCATCCACAGGTCCCATTCGCCAATCAGGCTTCTTGCGTGGCGGTGCTATGCCGTCGGCGCAGACCGCGCCGAGGGTGAAGATGGCAAGAGCTGTGACCTTCCAGGCGCCAGTGCCTCCATACCAGAGACCCCGAGGACTGGCACTGCTCAGCTCCTAACAGCTGACGACCGAATTGACCACGTCATTCAGGCAGCTGTGACAGCTGCGGCTGTGTCCTCAGATTCGTCGCCTTCTGGGCAAGGATTCCGTGCAGTGCGCCAGGCTCTCGAAGCTGCAGAGCTCAAGAGTTCTCATCCCTCTGAACTCCGAAGCCAGACTGTTCTTGAGTATGTTTTTGTTGTTTTAGTCGGTTATTTTGCTAAGTTTAAGGGGCATTACACCTCACAATGCTTAAGGCTTAATGTTTGAAGGGGTTTCAGAACAAGTGAGGAGATTGCAGCACCGGAGAGCCTCCTGCAGACTTGCTGGGCCATTGCTATTGGGCCTGGAGTGCATCGGCCGAAGGTGCGGGACCTTATCTGGTCAGTGCAGGCTTCAAAGAAGTCGCAACGGACGAGGCGCTGTCCAATGCCATCCGTGGCGACATCTTGGTGCTGCCATCGTCCGCCTTGTGCACTTCAGGCTTCGTTGCCATCAAATACACGGATGAACAGGTTGAGAGGCAGTGGGTATCCGATTTGTTCCACAGCTTGGCCGATTTCTCCCTGAACGCAACGTCCGGGACAGCAACTTTGTTCAGGCTGGACCACACCGAGCTGCCACCATTGCCACCTCAACCTTTCGAGAGATTCTTTCCGATGGCCATCAAGAGTAGCCTGCTCAAAGGGGTAGCTCGAACTGAAGCGATCCGCAGCGCAAGAAGCAGGCGCGCGGTACCTCCCGAAACCCATGAGGAGCTTCGCCAAGCGCGCCCATGCCCGGCCTTTTGGCAACGCCCGACTGGGGGCACTGCAGGAAACATGCCCAGCCAGCTTAGGCCGCTGCATTTTGACCGGTTCAGACGACTTCGCCCAAGAATCCCCAACAGATCCCCGCTGTGCTTTCAAGTGAACCCCGATGCACAGAATCAGTTCGGCGTCCGTTGTTGCTATGACTCGGCTAACCGCTTCATCCGCGCCTGGCCCTCAAGGATCATGGCTGGAGGCGGCCCGAACCATCTCTGGCACATCGTGGAGGATCAGGATTTGGACCAGCTTTTGCACATGAATGATGAAGACACAACTACTACCAGCACGATTCTCACCAGCCTCACCCAAACGGTCACGACATCCACTTTCACGCTCACCACCACCACCTCCACGGAGTCTCCGGACATTGCATTCAATGGAATTGCCATCGCTTTCTCAGAGGAGGTTGGGGTGGTCCAGCTCAGGTGGAAAGCGGCGCAAGATCCAAGAGGCCATGAGGTTGAGTACTTCCTTCTGTACGTAAGCGGCGAGAGCAACTTCACGGAGGAACTATCACTTTCAAACACCACAGCCACGGTTCTTCGTTTAGGGGGCGCATTGCATACCAGCCTGGAAGAGGAGCCCAACTCAACGGTCTCTTTGCTGGTTGTCGCGGCAGCAGGAGGGCGAATCTCCAAGAATCGTCATACTACAGTGGTTGCAGTAGCAGCCGAGGGTCGAAGTCTTGCCGAAGGCATCGCCCTTGTCGAGGTCACTGCCAGCGAGGCGCTTTCTGTTGCAGTTACCGGGTCGGCTGTGACTCTTACTGGAACGGTCCCAGAGATACCCCACTCCTCTTATATCAAAGGCCTAGACAGCAATGGCGAGCCCTTCCTGGCTTTTGTGGACAACGTCACATTCACAGAGCAAGGGCTTGTAGCTGCAACACGACCGGCAAACTTGCGAGAAGTCTACCAGCAACTCCACTTTGATGCCGAAGTCGACCTTGAGCCTGTTTCGGATTCGGGCACAGGGCGCCGTCTCAGTGAGGGAGCCCCACACCAACCAGAATTCCCTACCTACGACCTAGGCCTTGACCTGCTTGGAATGAGGATTACTTGCACACTTGCCCCGCATGTGCGTGCTCACGCTCACATTGATCTCATCTTATCCCGCATCGATTCCAGCATGACCGTCGACGCAACACTGACACTGGCGTGCAAACTTGCTTTCCCTAAGCTTGCACTCAAGCATCCCCAAAGCAAGAGCGTTCCCATCCCGCTCCCCAGCTTCTGGGTCCCCTTGGGATTATTGGGCAAGCTCGACATCTCGCCGACCCTTTCCCTTCATACCAACTTCACGGCCGAGGTTGAGGTTGGGGCCGTGGGCTTCGCGCTAGTTCTTCGGTGCGTTGCGAAGGCTCATTTTGATGATGACAATGGCTTTCTTGGCACTAGAACATGTGATCATGACTGGGAGTTCACGCCTCCAGCAATATCAGTAAAGCTTACCGCATCAACTTGGGCCAGCTTTGGCGTCGATTTTCTATGGCTTGGCCTCGTCGGTTTGCGACCTGCCTTCAAGATTGGGGCGCGCCTGCAGGCCAGCGCGAAGCTCCCCAACGATCTGGAGCTGCGGAACAAAGCTCCGTTTTTGGGCTTGCACTTTGAAGCCTTTGGGCTCTACCTAGATGCTGCTGTTGAGCTGTATGGCAAGTGGCATGAAAAGTGCGGGTGGTGGAGGTTGTGTGAGAAGAGCGTGCTCATCCTTGCAGTTACCCTGGAGGTGCCGATCTTTGCACTGCCTGATGTGAAGAGCATCGAAAGTTCGCGAGACAATGGGATCTATGAGCTTGAGGTCCAGGAGAGCGACTCGCCGTTTCAGAAGTTGCCCGCGCAGCACGAGTGGTTTGTCATTCCTGCAGCGGAGTGGACACAAGTTTATGTTTCGTCGACACGGCTTGTGCTGCGCCCAACGTCAGATGCTTCTTGTGGTCATGTTTACCATTTTGTGACCCGAATGATGGTGGTCTCCAGAATGGCTTCCATCGAGGTCTGCCCCGCTGCCGCCGCCACCACAACAACGACGACCACGACGACCACGACGACCAGAACTACTACTACCACCAACGCCGACACAACAATGGAAGATGACATCCCGCCAGACAGCAACAACCCTTTCAGCAACACAGACTGGAGGAGAAGCAGGCCCGGCGCATTTACATTCGGCGATCCCCACTGCCACACTTTTGATGATTATCGTTTTGAGTGCAACTTCTTGGGCGAGGCAGTGTGGACACGCTGTGGCAGCTTTGCTGTTCATGTCGTCGCAGAGAAGCCGAACAGCGGCAGCCAGGCCACTGTTGTCACGGCCTTCGCTGTCAAGGAACGAGAAGAGACGGCGGTCGTAAGACTTACGGAGAATTCCAGCACTCGGTTCGAGGTGTATCTTGATGGGGTGGAGGGCGAGCTAAGCGGCAGCAACCTGGCCATGGAATTGGACGGCAGCCTTCTACTTCTGCAGACGCGAACGGGACATCAAGTCGAAGCAACATTGCACCCGAGGCATATATTCATCACCTTGTTCCTGGCAGAAGAGTGCTTCAACCAGACCGAGGGCCTCATGGGAAATAACAACGGTGACAGGACGGATGACCTGCGGCCTTTCAATGCATCGGAGAGCATGGACATCAAGTCGCTTCCTGAGGAGGTGTATACGAAGCATGTGCTGTCATGGTGCATCACGGATATCAAGCATTCCGTTTTCCCGTTTGACATGTTCAAGCCTTGTGACCTCACCTTCCGGCCAACCTTCAGCACAGAGTTGGACCTCCAGCTTTGCCCGGAAAGCTGCGAAGGCAGCGAGGCTTGTTGTCTGGACTGGATGGAAGCTGGGGATGACATAGCTGCTGCATCGGTTACAGACAGCCAGGCTGTGGCAGAGGCACAGAATCAAGCTGTGTCTTTCAATGCGCTCGAGCCGCCAGAATTTACACATTTCCCTACAGTGATCTGGCTGTTGCCAGCCGTGGTGCCAGAAGTCCAGATGAAAGTCGCAGCGAGCTCAGCGTCTTCTACCTTGGTGGCAAAGATTGAATGTTCCGTGTGTGACAGCGAATCGCACTACGACAATATCACTTGTGAGTTCGATGGTGTTGGGACGCAGTCTGCAACACTGTCGGTTAAAGCAATTTCTTTGCCTCTCGGCCCTTTTACTTGCACAGCAGTGGATACACTTGGGGGTTCGACAACTGGTGTGTCGACAGTTGCGGGGCTGAAGGCCACCACGACATCAATGCCAAGTAATGACACTGCAGCTTCCAACAGCACGGAGCCAAACACAACTACAAGCAGCGCAATCACGATCCTTGCAGAGGTGGGCAATGGTCATGAGGTTGTCACGATGCTTCTGATTGTGTTGGGCTGTCTGGCATTCCTTGGCTGCCTTATTGGAATTGGAGCTGCGCTGTATCTGCGTTTCCCGAGTCGGACTGCCGAGGTTGCCGCTGACGTTCGGGCAGGGACCAACGAGCCATCACAGATTGAAGAGGGAGAAGGACCAGGATGCACTGCTCGTGCCGGGGCCAACGACCGCGAGCCATCGCAGATTGAAGAGGGAGACGGTCAGGATGTCCCCTCCCTTTCTAGTGAAGGTGTGCCACGAGACATCTCACCAAAGCCTCCTCCATCATGCTCAGCCTCAGTGATCCTGATCGTCTCGGATGGTGAAGCCTTCGAGAAGGGGATCGCAGGCAGCAACGAGCCAGGCAGCTCCAGATTGCCGGATGGCCGACCTGATCTCGAGGATGACCTGGTAGAGCTTTGAGACCTGGTAACCCGAAGCCCTAAAAGATTAAACAACCCTAGCCCTAACAGCCCTAACACTGCCACATAGAGTTCCGGCATGTGCGTCATGAGCGCATCATGACAGTTGCTTTCGATCGCACAAGAGTGAGGCAGCCACATGCTGTCGCGCATTGTCCTAGTGCCGTGCTCTTGCCGTCCACTTGATGTTTGATGAGGGTCCGTTTGCTCCATGCATGCCTATGTGTCATGGTCACACGGGCAGCCCGATGCCCTCACTTGCAAGCATGTTGTTGATCTACCATTATTGATTCCTGTTGTTGCGCTGTTGCACTGCTCGCACCAGAATACCCAGCCATCCCGTCAGTTTGCCCATGACTTCGAACATCCTTCGCTTACACCAAAGAAACCAAGAGACCATTCTCATGCATCCTGCACCCTTGCCAGCCCTTGCCAGATTTCGAGAGAAGCTGTTAGAAACTGCTAGAGGCTCCCGCGCATGGTCGTCGGTGTTCTGCTGCATCCAAAAGGATCAGCTGAGCGGTGGCTTTGCATGGTGTCGCACGTTGCCCTTGTATCACTTTGTGAGGTCATGTTCTTCTGTTTTTTCCATCCGCATTGATGTTTGGTGAGGCTCTTTCGCCCGGTCTGCTCAGTGCTTGCCTGCGTGTCGACATCACGCAGGTTGCCCGTCGCGCAGACATGCCATTGGTCTTCGCTTCTTGATTCCCGTCGTTCTGCTGTTGCTCTGAAAACATCACGCCCGGATGCCCAGCCATCTGTGAGTTTGCCCATGACTTGGACACGTTTCACTTGTAGGTAGGACAGTTATCGGGCCCCTCCGTGTGGCCACTTTTCATCGACACCAGAAGACCGTTCTCATGCATCTTGCTAGATGGCCAGAGGCTCCCATGCAGCATGGTCCTTGGTGTTGCACTGCATCCGAAGATCTCAGCTGAACGAGCCAGCTGCATCGCATGGTGTCGCCCGTTGTTCTTGTATCACTTTGTGAGGTCATGCTCTTGCCATCACGCCCCTCCGTGTGGCCACTTTTCATCGACACCACAAGACCGTTCTTATGCATCTTGCTAGATGGCTAGAGGCTCCCATGCAGCATGGTCCTTGGTGTTGCACTGCATCCAAAGATCTCAGTTTGCGAGCCAGCTGCATCGCATGGTGTCGCCCGTTGTCCTTGTATCACTTTGTGAGGTCATGCTCTTGCCGTCCAGTTGATGTTTGGTGAGGTTCTTTCGCCTGGTTTGCACGCAGGTTACCCGCCCCGCAAACATGCCGTTGGTCTTCGCTTCTTGATTCCCGTCGTTCTGCTGTTGCTCTGAAGACATCACGCCCGGATGCCCAGCTATCTGTGAGTTTGCCCATGACTTGGACACGTTTCACTTGTAGGTAGGACAGTTATCGGGCCCCTCCGTGTGGCCACTTTTCATCGACACCACAAGACCGTTCTTACTGACCGTTCTTATGCATCTTGCTAGATGGCCAGAGGCTCCCATGCAGCATGGTCCTTGGTGTTGCACTGCATCCAAGGATCTCAGCTGAGCGAGCCAGCTGCATCGCATTGTGTCGCCCGTTGTCCTTGTGTCACTTTGTGAGGTTTGCTCAGTGCATGCCTGCGTGTCGACATCACGCAGGCGACCCGCCGCGCAAACATGCTGTTGGTCTTCGCTTCCTGATTTCTTTCGTTCTGCTGTTTCGTTCTGCTGTTGCGCTGAAGACATCACACCCGGATGCTCAGGCCACAGGACAGACCTTCCGAGTGTCCGTGCGCTGATCTCTGCAGCGTGAGCCAGCATGCCTCTTGGTCCATCTGTTGCGTAGTCACGTTTCACCGTTTCTAAGTGGCAGGCAAGATGCAGATAGGAAATCCTCAGCAGGCGCAGGTGGAAGTCTTTTAGCGATGAATGTGTCGAAAGCACTCAGCCGTCTTTGGGGAGTGGAACACTTCACCAACGAATGGAAATGCAAATACACCTGTTGACGTATTGTGCTTCGACACACCTGGGAGACTGAAGCCGCACCCCGAGTCGTACCTTCAGCTGCATTGCCCGGAGAAAAGCCTTCACCTCAGAAGAGGCTCAGGGCTTGGGACACAAGCGCTTCCGGAAGGGCCAGCAGCAGAAGCCAAGCCAATTGGGTGTTTTCCACATAGGGCTGCCCTTTGTAGGGGTTCCTGCACGGACTACTGCAGTATCTCGCGCCCCGCAGGAAGAGCTGGTAGACAACTTCGAAACCATGAGGTGACATTGACGAAGCTCAGACACGCTGGACTTCGAAACCCCAAAGCCATGCTACCCCCCGAGGTCCCAATCATCTCCTGTATGAAGACCGCCCAAAAGAACAGCCCCGAAAAGCTGAACCCAAGTGGCACGTCAGTCCTCCGGCTTAGATCTCAAGCGCGAATTGGGGCTTTAGGGGCCTCGGCGCCCGCCTCGCGGCGAGGCCCACCAACCTGTATCGCTCTTGAGCACATGTTTGCTGCAGGTTGGGGTTTGGCAAGAAGGATAAGAAGGGTTCTGTGATGTTCTATGTGTATGGGGGGGCCACAAGAAAATTGAAAAACACACTAGATTTTCATGAATGGAAATAGAAATATAGATACATGTATATATATATATAGAATATGTATATATATATGACACATCAACACAAGATTCGGATCCGAATCCTGAGAATAAGCCAAGCGCGCAGCTCCTTCGGCCCATGCTGAAAATCTTCATTGGTTATGAAAGGCCCTGAATGGTTTTCCAAAAGGGCTGCGAAAAGGGATTCGTTTTCTGGAAGAACTCGGCAAAACTATTCCTAGAATGTGCCTCTGCTGAAGCACAAACATGCTAGTGGCCTGTGCGTTTTCAGCACAACCTAGCATGCTGCTGGCTGAAGGTTCTGGACATGGGACATCCATGCAGCCCAGTCAGAGTCATCCCATTTCCGCGCTTGTATAGAACCTTTTCGCGGAGCCAGGTTTTTAACCAACTCTTCTTGCTCTTTGCGAAAAGGTTTCGCAGCCCATAAAAAAGGTGGTTTAAGTAACTAGAGATGTTTTAAAGTTTATCCCTTGTGTTCTGGTAACGAAATCGTAACGAAATCGCGGCTCCATAGGGCGTACAAGCGCAAAAACAGCCTTTGTTTCCTAACGTTTGCACTTTCAGAACAGAGTAGAGGTAAAACATATGCCTAAGAGGTTTGTCGTATGTCCCCTCCCTTCGTGCTAGGGTTTGGTGTTATATGGGGGCCCTAGAAGTTTGTCGCATGTCCCTTCGTGCTCGTAGGGTGGAGGCCCTATAGAGGTTAATGCAACCGTTTGCAAGTGCAGGCGGGAAATGGGGCCACGATTACGTTACCAGCACAGGGAACCGTTTCAAAATGCAGGCGGCCTACAGGGCCACGAATACACTACCAGCACAGGGTTTTGGGCGCTGAACATGAGCCTGAAAACGTGTCTTAACGTGTTACGACACCATATATGCTTCCCATGCGACCGAATCGCTCGCGCCATGGCGCGAGCTATTTGGTCATCAGGGCGCAAAAGGGGTGCTAGTTGCTTATACGACGTCACCCTGCGAGCGCGAAGCCTTGTGTTTTAACGTGTTGAAACACCATGGATGTTTCCCTTGCGAGCTATTTGGGGTGCTAAGTGCTTGCGACGTCACCCTACAAGTGCGAAGGGAGGGGACGTGCGACAAATGTGTAGGGGCCTCACCAAAGCCTACGAGCACAAAGGGAGGGGACATACGACAAACCTCTCAAGGATACGTGTTTACTTCTACAGTGTTCTGAATCCCACAGCTTGGGTGCTGTTTGAGTATGCTTGGTCCCCCAAAAAGCAGGATGCTAGTTGAACACACTCGGTCCCCAAGACTTAGGTGCTGTTTGAGCACGCTCGGGCCTAAGAAGCAGGATGCTAGTTGAACACGCTCAGTCTTTTCGCACGCACAAGGACCAACCAAGACGCTTTTCTGAAACCTTCAAGCCTCTTCAAGCACGTTATGGCTCTCGAAGGGAGGGGACATACGGCAAACCTCCTAAGAGATATGTTTTTACTTCTACCGTGTTCTGAAGGTGAAATCGTTAGGCAACACATAGGATGTGTTCGCGTTTGAAAAGACCCTTTTCGCAGAGCAAGCAGGGTTTTTACCCAACTCTTCTTGCTCTTTGAAAAGGTTTCACAGCCCCCAAAGAAAGGTGGTTTAAGTAAACAGAGATGTTTATCCCCTGTGTGCTGGTACTCGTAGCGCAATCGTGGCTCCATAAGGTGTGCAAAGCGCCAAAAAGCATCCTATGTTTCCCAACTTCCCAACGTTTGCATTTTCAGAACACAGTGGAAGTAAAAACAGATCCCTAAGAGGTTTATCGTATGTCCCCTCCCTTCGTGCTAGGGTTTGGTGCCATGGGGGCCCTAGACGTTTGTCGCATGTCCCTTCGTGCTCGTAGGGTGAGGGCCCTATAGAGGTTAATGTAACCGTTTTCAAGGAAATGGGGCCACGATTACGTTACCAGCACAGGCTTTGGGAACTGTTTTAAAATGTAGGCGGTCTGTAGGGCCACGAATACGCTACCAGCACAGGGTTTTGGGCACAGAGCACTAGGCTCAGTCTTTTCGCACGCACAAGGTCACAAGGACCAACCAAGACGCCTCCCTGAAACTTTCAAACCTCGCACACTGTGCCCTTCAAGCACGTTATAATTCTAGGCCTTTCAGGCCTAACCTCTAGGGGCCCTCACTCTACGAGCACGAAGGGAGGGGACATGCGACAAACTTCTAGGGCACTCACCAAACCTTACGAGAATGAAGGGAGGGGACATACGACAAACCTCTAAGGGATTTGCTTTTACTTCTACAGTGTTCTGAAGGTGAAATTGTTAGGCAACGCATAGGATGTGTTTGCGTTTGTATAGACCCTTTTCGCAGAGCAAGCAAGGTTTTTCCCCAACTCTTCTTGCTATTTGAAAAGGTTTCACAGCCCCCAAAGAAAGGTGGTTAAGTAAATAGCTTGTGTGCTGGTA